TTACTTTTATACATTTAAATGATTATTGTTTTGCTTTTTTATCTGTAGAAATTTCAGACTCATGCATTTAATCCCTTGCACTCTCATCTCATTCGCACTCTCTGTCTTTCTTCCTCTCTCTCTCGCTTTTAAGGAGCAGGGGAAGATTCAGAGCTGGTAAAAAAAATAATCAGGGCTACAGCCCCCAAAAGCCGATGCCAGGCGACACCCCTGGTAAGAAGCCCCCCTGAATCTTACTTCAAATTATCATTAAATTCATCAAATTATCAAAAATTTACACAGAATATTATTTGCTATTAACATACTACAGTGCTCTGTAATAGTAAGTAAGTAAGTAAAGTTTATTTATATAGCGCTTTTTACAACAGGTGTTGTCACAAAGCAGCTTTACAAGGAAATCAGCATTACAAAAAGAAATCCAGGTCCAAGCCCCCATGAACAAGCCAGTGGTGACAGTGGCAAGGAAAAACTCCCTAAGAGAAACAGGAGGAAAACTTGAGAGGAACCAAGGCTCAGAAGGGGAACCCATTCTCCTCTGGTCGACACCGGATAGTAAACATTGTTAGTATAAAGTATTATAGTACAAAAACAGGGAAAAGAGGTGGAGCAAACGATTAATTTGATTAGTTTAGTTCATGCAGCAGCAGCAGCATCAGTGAGGTCAGGTTGTGAGGGTGAGGTTTGCACGGCGAGCAGTGGCACCCGATCAAGGCAGAAGAGGCAGCAGCATCAGAACGCACAGGATGGGCAGCTGTTCAACTCAGCAAAGGAAAGAAAGGAAAAACACACAGAGTCAGTTCTGTAATGGGTGATTGATTAATTTGATTAGTTTAAATGATTGATTAGTTCAAATGATTAATTTTGATTAGTTCATGTAGCAACAGCAGTAGTATCAGTGGGGTCAGGTTGTGAGGATGAGGTTTGCATGGCGTTGTACAGCAGGAGGCTCAATGTTGGTAAGCCGGTCCAGAGGGCTGGCGAGCAGTGGCACCCGATCAAGGCAGAAGAGGCAGCAGCATCAGAATGCACAGGATGGGCAGCTGTTCAACTCGGCGAAGAAAAGAAAGGAAAACACACAGAGAGTCAGTTCTGTAATGGGTGACCGATCACAAATTACAGTGTTAGCAGAGACTCTGGCAGATATAGAACTGACAGGGAAAACTAATTACTTGACTATACAAGTAAGTTTTTAGCTTAGACTTAAACACTGAGGCTGTGTCTGAGTCCCGAACTTTAACAGGAAGACTATTCCAAAGCCGGGGGGCTTTGTATGAGAAAGCTCTCCCCCCTAATGTAACTTTATTAGTTCTAGGTACTAATAGTAAGCCAGCACCTTGTGATCTAAGTAGGCGTGATGGTTCATAGTGAGAGAGAAGTTCACTCAGGTACAGAGGGGCGAGTCCGTTTAGTGCTTTGTAAGTCAGTAAGAGAATTTTATAATCAATCCGAAATTTAACTGGTAACCAGTGTAAGGTTGATAAAACTGGGCTGATATGGTCAAACTTTCTGGTTCTTGTAAGGACTCTGGCTGCAGCGTTCTGGACCTTGTTAAGGCTTTTGCTGGGACTTCCAGCCAGCAGGGCATTACAATAGTCTAGCCTCGAAGTAATAAATGCATGAACTAACTTTTCTGTGCATCAAAGGACAGATCAGGGTCTATAATGACACCAAGGTTTTTTTACAGATGAGCTTGGTGCAACTGAGAAATTGTTAAGTTTAAGTGTAAAATCAGACAGTTTGTTTCTAGCAGCTTTTGGACCAAGAAGCAGAACCTCTGTTTTATCCGAGTTTAGAAGGAGAAAGTTACTCGACATCCAGTCCTTTATGTCTTTTATACAGTCTTCAATCTTGCTAAGTTTAATTTTATCATCTGGGTCACTTGCTAAATATAACTGAGTGTCATCGGCATAGCAGTGGAAATTTATGCCGTGTTTACTGATAATGGTGCCCAGTGGTAGCATATATAATGTGAATAATACAGGTCCTAAAACAGAGCCTTGTGGAAACACCATACTTTACTTTTGTGAGAACAGATGATTCACTGTTTACGTTAATAAACTGATAGCGATCAGTGAGGTAGGACCTGAACCAGGAAAGAACTATTCCTGTTACCCCTACAAGGTTTTCTAGTCTGTCTAGTAAGATAGCGTGGTCTATTGTGTCAAATGCCACACTAAGATCGAGGAGGACTAACAAGGACACATTATCTTGGTCAGAAAATAATAATAGATCATTTACAATTTTTAGTAGTGCTGTTTCTGTACTATGATGTGGCCTAAAGACAGATTGAAATTTTTCATGCATTTCATTCCTATGCAAATAGGAGCTTAATTGTTTTGCTACAACTTTTTCCAAGATCTTTGATATAAAGGGGAGATTCAAGATGGGTCTATAATTTGATAGTTCGCATGGATCGATGTTCGCTTTCTTAATCAGCGGTCTAATTACTGCTAGTTTAAGAGATTTTGGGATGTACCCAAGGCTAAGAGAAGAGTTTATTATTGACAGAATAGGCTTGGTTATTTCTGGCAAAATTTCCTCGAGTAAACCTGTAGGAATCGGATCTAACATACAAGTAGATGATTTTGCGGAAGAGACTATTTTAACTAGTTCATTTTCTTGGAGTAAGGTAAATGATTCCAGCCTCTCTGCAGGGATTATAATATTTTCAAGGTTGAGGCTGGCATTATAAGGCAGCAGGTTTATAGAGTTTAATTGTGTATTCTGAATTTTCTGCCTAATTTTTTAAATTTTATCACTAAAGAAGTTCATAAAATCATTGCTGTTACAGGCTGATGGCATCTGGGGTTCACTAACTGTTTTGTTCTCTGTTATTTTAGGGATTGTGCTGAAAAGTAATCTAGGATTATTCTTATTGTTTTCTATGAGAGAGGAGAGATAGGCTGAGCGTGCTGTAGCAAGTGCTCTTCTATAGTCTATAAGGCTCTCCTTCCAGGAGGACTGGAACACTTCTAGCTTAGTCAGGCGCCATTTTCGCTCAAGTTGTCTGGCAGTCTGTTTTAAAGCCCAAGTGTGTTCATTATACCAAGGGGCGAGTTTTTTCTGCCTTACTATTTTACTTTTTAATGGAGCCACACTATCTATGGTAGATCGAAAAATTTCCTCTAAGAGCTTGGTCATAATATCTAACTCGGTAGGATTAGATGGACAGCTGACAGAAGCTGATAATTTTGGAAGGTTTCTAATAAAGCTATCAGCTGTGGAGGGAGTTATTGTCCGCTTGACCCAATAACATGGTGATGAACGCATATTACCACTAAAGTGAATTTCATATGAGATTAAGTAATGATCTGAGACTGCTGTGCTCTGGGGGAGAATGGCTAAGTTATCTATGTCTACACCAAAGGTCAGTATTAAGTCTAGAGTGTGGTTGTGGTAGTGTGTGGGCACCTTTATGATTTGGGTGAAACCTATGGAGTCTATGATAGATGTAAATGCCTTGCTTAGTGCATCTTGAGGATTGTCAAAGTGGATATTAAAATCTCCGACAACTATTATTTTATTTGAAAGCATTATTAGACTTCATAGAAACTCAGTGAATTCCTGTAAGAACTGAGAATACGGCCCTGGTGGCCTGTAGACTGTAATTAGTGCAAAGGAATTTTTATTTGTTCCTTGATCACTTATATTAAGAAAAAGAACTTCAAAAGAAGAGAATGTATAGCCTACTTTCTGGCTCACGCCTAAAGCTTTAGTATGGATGGTTGCTATACCTCCACCTTGGCCGCTTAAACGAGGGCTATGTGCATAGCTGTAGCCTGGGGGTGTGGCTTTGTTTAGGCTGAAGTATTCATCAGGTCTAATCCACGTTTCTGTGAAGCACAGAGCATCAAAACCGTGATCAGTAATAATTTCATTTACAACGACGGCTTTAGGAGTAAGGGATCTTATGTTAAGCAGTCCTAGTTTTAGACCAAAGGTGCTGTCACTGCAAACTGGTATAACTGGTCTGATATTAATCAAGTTACTGAAGCAAACTTTTCGAGGCTTTTTGATGTAATGTATGAAAAATACTGAGCAAGACCAGTTAATCTTGATTTTGGATTGAGATTCCAGGAGGAAAAGATCTAAGAAACTTTGAAAGAGGGTTCAGCATGGATGGCCTGAGCTTCACTCACAAAGGCTGTTCAGTGACATTTGTGTCTCTCAGATGGCACTGCATTAAAAAACAGCATGGTCTGGAATACTTTGACAAACTGTTGTCAATAAATGCTGTCTGTAAAGGGCCAATTATTGCTGAAAGATATATACACGTTTGGAGAAATGTGTTGCCTTCTGGACAACATCTTTTTTAGGGACATACATAAGCCACATTCTGTGCATGTGACAAAGGCATGGGCTGTGTAATCAAAGTGTACAAGTGCTAGACTGGCCTATAAAACAGTCCATACCTCTCTCCCATTAAAATGTGTGGTGCATTAAAAAGTGCAAAATATTGTAATGAAGAGCCCCCTACAGTTGCACAACTGAAGATAGTATGTAACAGAAGAATGGCCAAAACAAATATTCATTTTTCAGAAGTGAATTTACTGGAAGAACAGCAAAAAATTAGCTTTCAGAACTGGGTCAGTTGTCTTAAGTGCCCAAACAATATTTAAGTGTTGTTAAAAGGAAAAGTGATGTAATACAGAGCTAAACATGTTGCAAAATTGTGAAAAAAAACAATGAAGCTGATCAGGTAAGTTTTTGTACTGTTTCAATTTTATACAAGCCACAGTAAGTTCACCAACTCACTGTTTTCTGTTTTTATTAGCATTTCACATTCTGTGCCAATTTTTTTTGGAATTGAGGTTTGCATGTGTATCGTTTGTATGTCATTTCTACTATAAAAATAAGAAATGTATATCTCACAATCCACTACTGAATTCGTAAAACTCCCAAATTATCGACACATATTTTGTTTATAAGCATACAGTTTACATTAACATACATTAGCAGTTTAAATGTAGCTTCAGGAAGCTCAGTGAACTACGTCACCGCGCCGCCCGTCACTACTGAACTCCTCTTAAATCCTCACAAGTACACGAAGTCAGAGGGATTAGTTCTGTTCCTGGGCTCCGAGCTACTGCCTTGCTCTGTACACTGCAGGTAAACACATGGCCTCATTATCCGATACAGACAGACCTGGCAATATAAAAGAGTACTGAGAGAGAGACTTTTTTTACCCGCATAGGAAAAAGGGAACCGGTAGGTTAATGCTAGCTAGCAGCGCGAGTACGTAAATTTGAACGCTAGCTTACCGCCTAGCTGGACACGTTAGCTGGATTGAGACTGCTCTGTCCTCTCACAGATCGCTGTGTAGCTTTTACCAATAACTATGTTTGGACGTTTAGTCGTGTGTCTGTAGTTCGAGAGCGAATTTGTGTTGTTTGTATGCTTGGACTGCGGTTTTTAGCCTTATTTTTTCCGGTCGTCCCTGTAGCACACGTAGCCAGCAACCGTTAGCAAGCAAGTTAGCCGGTCGGAGATGACATTGCGGGAAAGTGGTCGTTCTCAGACCTGTGGAATGTCAACACGCTTTTTTAGACTCTCCGTAACCAGAAAGGCATTTGTTGCTTAAAAGCAGGTCAAACCTCTGCGAGGTGGCGTGTAAAGGTTTAAGATTTTACCTCAGGTAAGAGTCACTTTGCCTTAATGCAACATACCGTTAAATAGCTTGTACTCATCAGCGAAACCTGCTTGTTTACGTACTGTAGTTAACTAGCTAGCTAGTTGAACAAAATTCGGTATCAGAACAAGTTTTAGGACTAACTGCAGTAATTGGATACTTAACCAAACTCCTGTCTTTACTTTAGGTATATATTTCGTATCCCTCGCGTTTTTTAGAGCCCAGGGTGGGGAACTGCGCAGTTTGATGACTTTCCCTCTCAAGCGTACGTGATCCAGCTCATCATTTAATTGTCAGGTTTGCTGTAATGTTAGAGCAGATAAATAATCAAACTGTGCTGACCTCCGGCCGTCAGGTCCCGTGTAGAGAGCGGACCCTGTTTAAAGGGAAAAAAAACTACTTCCTGAGTTCCTCATTCTCTCCCTGTCTCTCTCTTATTTCCAGCATTTGGGTTGTCTGTTACCCTAAACAGTGAAGTAAATTCAGTCTCTACAGAACATGAGGGCTCTTCTTAATTGGTTTTGGATGACTTAGGACTGTTAGAACAGGGCAAACACATTAATAGCGTCTTATGCTCCAAAGCTGCAATTAAAACCCTGTTTATATCTTGGGGCAGGGATGTCCTGCTCCAGAATGCAAAACTAATACCAAAAGCAATTTGACTCGAGGCTTGATAATCATCTGAGTTGAATCAGGGGAAAATATAAAACACTGCATTGGTCAGAGATTCCGGATTGAAATGGATGGACCCTGCTTGCAGTTTCTGTAGCTGATTCAAATAATTCTGTCAAAGGCTACAGCACTTTGATTAAAAAAAGGTTTGCTTTTTTGGCAAGAAAGTGAACTCACTGTTGAAGGAATTTGAAGGTGCATTAGTGAAGTTTTTTTTTTTCAGATAACCTCTGTATTTTACTGCTCTGCTGTAATGATAGGTACCCTCAATTTGTAGAGGTGTAACAGTACCCTCAGCTCACAATTCTATGAAGTAATGATGCTGAATTTGCAGTTCGATATTCTCATTATTTTGAACAAAATTTGAAGGAAGAAAAGTAGATGTATCCGAGTTTCAAAGTTTGCTAATGGCATTGTAGCAGTGAGCTGGGATGAGTGCTGGAATCTGTCGTATTACAGCTGGATTAGGTTTACCTGGGTACTGTAATTTAATAGGAAAACAATCCAGTCTGAATGTGAATTTTTACAAGTTAACTCCAGAATTATTACTGGTCAAATGACCTTTTATAATTTGCTGAATCCTGAGCTCTTTCAGTAAGAATTAGTTCTGTTCGACTTGACCTCATGGTGATGTAATAAAACCTAGAGGATGTACACACACACACACACACACGCACGCACGCATCATCTAAACCGCTTATCCTTCTGGGTCGCAGGGGCCTGCTGGAGCCTGTCCCAACTCTCATTCGGCTGAAGGCCTAGATTTATAATTGAGGCCAAAATTCATTTCAATTTTTTTTTTTATTCAGACAGTGCGGTAAAGCTACTAATCTGAGCCCAGAACCAACCATCTGTACCCTCGTTAAATACTTGTGTCCAATTCACTTTGTGTAACAGCACCAAAGGAGGAGTGCTGAAGAGCTTGTGGCATTGTGTTTGATCAATCAATGGTCTACTTTGTTTCCAGCTCCATTTATACATGGAATATAATAACCCACACATCCATATAATTCAAGTACCCTTTATTATGTCCTTGTACATTTGTATATAGCTGAGATCTTTTATACTCCCTTACACCCTTTTTGTGGACACTTGGGGATGTAGATGTAGAGGATGTGCTAACTGATTTTCACTTAGAAAATGACCAGTGTATGTAATTTGACTGATGGTGTTCAGATTTTTGCATAAGACTATATGTAGATCGAAAAATATCTGATATCTGCACTGGCCCATGCTTCCGTATCAATGTGTTGCTAAGATAAAACAAAATATAAGGAGCATCAGAGTAGTCCTTGAGCAAACTGAAAGCTGTTGGTCTTAAATTCTTAAAAAAGGCCATTGCGGTAGCACTCACTTCACAAACACAAGATATTTGGTTAACACATGTCAGCAAGAAATCACCCAACATGTCTTTTGTAAGCTTTTTTGCAGTGATGTGTCCATGGCACTGTCTTTTTTATGCTTCACAGTAGAAACCGTATTCGCACTCAAAGTCCTGCAGAGTTTTATGTTTGTCCGGCTTTAACACACTTAGTTCAATGAACGGTTTGGTACTTGGCTGATGAGTTGAATTAGGTCTTTAAAACAGGGATGTGACCTTCCAGAGGTTTGTTTCACAAAGAAGGGTGTTCTCAATTAGATAACTTAGACTCTAAATCAAGCTTGACTAGTAGGACAAGAAGTGGGGGACATTCCCATTGGACAGTTTTTACTTTAGGCTTAAATTGTCTTTCTTTGAGAGAATGCTATTGCATCTTTGTTTATGAGCATGGTTTTTATGTTTAGGAGGCTACTTAAAAAAAAAAAAATAAAAAATCATCACAGCAAAGATGAATGAATAGCAGTTTAGGGTTGGTCTATACAGAGGGCTGTCTGTGCTGGTAGGAAATTCTTGGATAACTGTTTTAAAGCATTGTTGCCATCAGATCCCAAAATCAACAAAAAACTTAAAAGGTAATAAGTAGTTTGTAAGGTTGTTGTTCTAACATATCATTCCTTTTGTTGTGTTAAATTTAAGAAGTGACTGGTTTCTACTCCGCTCTGTACTTTAAGAGTTCATCAAGTATCTGTTAATGCTGATGACCGGAACTGATATAAAAAGTCTGGTAAATGCATATGCACTTGAATTGCTTGGAAATCTTGGATGTTAATTCTACTGACTTATCAACATTGCTGCCTAATTCTGTTGTTGAGATGTAAACAAAGTCAGTCAGAGTGATTTGATGTCAAATGCACAGTTCTAGAGAACATGGTGGTAATAGGAACCAGTCATCCAAAGCATTTAATGCGTCTAAAGTCGAGTGCGCGCTATACCATTTTAGCCCTGATTTTCCAGTCACAGATAGTGTTTAGATCTGGAACAACTAGCCCAGCTTAGTGACAAATCGCTGAGTGCCTGTGACACTGCTAATGTGTGAACAGTTCAGCGACATGATTTTCTCAGTCAGTGAGATGAATAAAAGCCCCCTCACAATTTTATTAAACAAAATGGTCATGAGCCTCATGCTTAAGACATTGTTTTACAATTGTTTGGCCCAAAAACCTAATTTTTAATCTTGTCAGAATGGAGAGATACATGCAGAGTGTTGTGAGACAAAATAGTACCCAGTGAAAACATTTTTATTTTTGGTATATTTAACATTATTTTACCATTGTCAACATTAAATGTGTAGACATGTAGATTCACTAGTCGTTTAGGATAGCAAATAGAATATGTTGTAGACATTGTGACCCGTGGTTCCTATCACCACCTAGAAGTTTGTGTTCCCAATTTTTTTTACAATGCATCATTTTGCATAAAATCACTACGAATGACTTTGTTTACAACTCAGCAGTTGAATTATGCAGGAATTCCTCTTTAAATCTTTTATCAATGTTTGCTGCTTGGCCTAGAGAAGATAAAAAAAAAATGTAGTTAGTTTATGTTTCTTCTTCTACTGCATGAGCTGTTTAACTTGACATTCATCACTTCTTCTCAATTGTCACAGTGCTGTGTCTTTTTTTTTCTTCCTGCAGAGTCATTCTTTGAGCAGCACCACTTTTCTCACCCTTTTCCCTTTTTTTGTTTATTATTGTGGCCCTTTTAAAAGAGTAAAAGCGGTGCTGATCTTTGTGAAACTGGGTCAATGTTTTGTGGTAAAGCAAAGCCATCTGACAAGGAATAAACAGAGGAACCATGAGCACAGCCAAGCCCAGTGGACTTAAAGCCCCAAGCAAGATTAGCAGACCTGCAGGGTCTGGGACTACCAAAACATCTCCTTCAAGTAAGTGCCCTCAACTTTCAGTACCTATAATTTACTTAATGCCTTGGTGCAATGATTCGTCTTCATTGCCCATCATTACTTGTTGACAGATTATTCTGGATTGCAACTACAAAAATAATATCGTCTAAAAAATTATATACAAATATAAAGTGACATTTTAAAGTTTTTGTTATTAACAAAGTAGTTTAACTTGATGTAGCTGAATTAGCACAGCAGATAACATCTAGATTGTCAGGTGAAGTGAAAATGTTAAGATGTATGTGTGTTTTGTTTTATTTTTTTAAATATAGGTGGTCCCAAAGCAGTTCCAGGTGACAAAGCTGCAACTGATGAGAAGGATGCATCTGAAGAGTTCAAGGTTGGAGACCGTGTGTGGGTCAATGGCAACAAGCCAGGCTTCATTCAGTTTCTAGGAGAGACACAATTTGCTCCGGGACAGTGGGCAGGCATCGTCCTGGACGAGCCTATCGGAAAGAACGACGGCTCTGTGGCAGGAGTGCGATACTTTCAGTCAGAGCCATTGAGGGGTATCTTCACACGGCCCTCTAAGCTTTCTCGTACTGAGGGTGAGGCCAATGGGACGACGACAGCACCTGCTTCACCAACCCCTTCCACCACACCGCCACCGTCTGCTCCATCAACAACCACTACCACCAAAAAAGCGGCCACGCCTACAAAACCTGACACGGCAGCTTCAAACCTCACTCGCTCAAACAGTGAGTCAGTGTCCAACCTGTCAGAGACTGGCTCGGTGAAGAAGGGCGAACGAGAGTTAAAGATGGGCGATCGTGTACTGGTGAGAATGTTAAAACAAAACTGGTCCAGAAAGGCCAAAAAATGCATTCATGTAAAGTATAGTTGCTGTTCTTTTGAACATTTAGGCATTTTTCATTTTTTTGATTAATCTTTAACCAGACAAGCCTAAAATCAAGAACACTGGCCATCAAAATATCAATCATAAAGATGTAGTTCTGGTTCTGAGTTTTGATTGGTTGAGGCCACCAGTCAAAGTGGGATATGTGATAAATGCACAATTATGAGCACACACATCAGCTGAATTTAGGATTGCTGCAAGATATTTAAAAAAAATTCTTTGTATGCGTTGTGGTAAGTAGTACTGATAGATGGGCCTAACTTAAGAGCATATATAAAATAAACTAAAATAAATTATGTCTAAAAAGCTTTACATAAGAACCTGTTTTTTGTTTAAACTGAGGGGCTGACAACTATATGTTTGATTGTATGACCAAAAACTAAAAAGTTGATAAAGACTGGAATAAATAAAGATGGGGTACTGAAAGTGCTATATTCTAAAGTTCTAAACGCAAGTTGCAACAAACATAAACATAAAACCATGAGGATTAGCTTTGGCTCAGCGAATTCAGTGATTTCTTCAAACCGCTGTGCATCACAATTTCTCCAAGAGAACATGCACAAAATAGTTTTTCTCTTTTATGGCTTTTATGACTTCTCTTTTGTGACTTACTGCTTTTGACGTGGTGCATTGCTGTAGTTTGTTATCGTCCTTTTAAAAAGTGGTCCCAAACACCACTTTTTCTGCAGCCTCTACTGAATGAAATCAAGAGGAGAAAATATTCAAATTAAGTTCTTGTTAGCTTTGACAATTTGTATGTGCTTTGCCTTAAGTATTTTTTTCTATCTATCAAAATAGAATATACTGTTTATCCATCGATAAGAAAGAAGGTCTGTAGATTTTTCTTAATGCTCTAAATCGTAGCGCCAACATTGTATGTGTAAAAGGGCAGTGCCTCCAAGACACGTTGCTCACACCCCACAGTGTGTAACAGAACGGATGCTGAAAGTTTACTTAAAGCCCACCAGAAACTGTCCCAAACTATGTCCAAACATTAAGGTCTGAAACAGAATGTCTAAAACATGTCTGTATTAAAATAATCTTTATATCTGCCAACATCTTTCACCTCATGTCACTTGTGAATAATCTTGTTCTTGTAAAATCTTGTAAAAGTCTTTTAATGATCGTTGTGAGACATCTCATTTTGTGATATTAAATGCACATCTGTCCTCCTGCAGGTTTTGAATGGTCAGTGTCAGCACTGAATCAGCCACACTCTTTTTGTTTTTGGGTTGCCAGCTATTCAGCACTAGGATCAATATACATTCATAAGACAATTAATTTCAATTTTCAAACCTCTTCCACGGCCACAGTACGTTTAGAAAATTGTCCACACAGAAAACACTGCCTGCAACTGTGTAATTTTAACTCTTTCACCCCTGATCCTAAGGGCTCAGTTCATCAAGCTGCAGAAAGCAGGTTTTAAAGCGTATGGTCTGGAGCGGTCAATTCACTTGAAAGGTGGAAAGAACATTTAGGTGGCAGGTTTATGCCTTTTGTCAGTCACAATCTCCCCATCTTAAAATTCCACATTTTCCCCATGCTACATTTTGAATGTATTGCTACAGTTAACCCTCGATATTTCATAAATATGCATTCATTCTTTTTCAATAAATATATTCATATTTTTTTGTGCACTTGTGTTGATGCTATCAGATACTGTTAATTGATTGGTTCTAATGAAATCAAATTTTTCCTAATTTTTCTAACAGTGTTGAATATTGACAGTTCCTGTTTACGCTCCCTTATTGCTTTACAGCAGCGTTGAAGTATAAGGGAGTATTTAAGGAACGTGTATGTAAATCCAAGTAGATTTCAGAATGTAGGTCAGAATCAGCATTCAGCTGATGTTATGTTCGAGCATACTCCATAAATTTTGTGGATTGTAGAAGATTATGGTTTAAAGTAAAATGATGCACTGGGGATATGGATTATACCACGCAATGTATAGGACATATACATTATTCTTCACTCAGAGCTGTGTTCAATGTTTTTATACTTATCTCTTTTTTTCAGGTTGGCGGTACCAAAGCTGGTGTAGTGCGTTTTTTAGGGGAAACAGATTTTGCCAAAGGCGAGTGGTGTGGAGTTGAGCTGGATGAGCCCTTAGGAAAAAATGATGGTGCAGTTGCTGGAACCAGGTATTCATCACGACCCCCAGAAAACTTCACTGACTGCTCCTTAGCTGTCTTTGTAGAATTTTACAATAAATAAAATATCATGCTGCACAGCTCTGCCCCCTAGGCTTATCGGAGATTAGAATTTGCCACATCTTACAAGACTCTCACAATTTGGGCCAACAGAATCATTCTGAATTCCGGGTGCAGTGCAAATAAATTTCTTGTTGCTAGCTAGCTAGCTAGCAGGCCTTCAGTTGTATTTATTAGGGATGCATCAATACTGAAACTGGTATCGGTTATCGGCCTGATACCACGCGACGTAAGCCATGACGTAAATGTACACTGCCACGCTAATAATCAAACGACTCAAGCAGTCAGTGAACGAGGCTCACTGCAACACTGCAAAGTGTTGCTGACCCTGTGGAGGTTGGACACAGTTATTGGTCATGTCAAACATTCCACATTGACAGATTTCCGCCAGGAATTCACTGTGCGTTTTTATCCTGTTTTTAAACACACATCATTCTGAAGGACCTTGATCGCTTCCTCATTCACTGACCAGGCTTTACCAAAATGTATGCACTAAGGCAAAATAATGGTCAAAATAGTAAAATTTATATAAAAATATAAAAACAATGAAATACATTTTGGCAGTAATAATACTACTACTTCTACAACTACAACTACTACTAATAATGATATATTTTATATTTTTATAGAATATATAAATATTAGAGATATTTAATAGGACATTTGAAAATAATCTAAATAATATTCTGTAGTTGCAACTGAACTTGTAAATGTCTGTTAAAATAAGTTAACACTTCCTCTTCAGAGAACAAACTTGAATATGCCTTTTTTCTGTATTTTTATTGCACAGATTCTGTTTATTTGGAGGTTAGCATATTGAGGAAAATAGTAAAATGTGCCCTAACTGTTGCACAGGCCACATTGTATGTTTTTTTTTTTTGACCCCATTATGTTAAAATCAGCAAACAGTACTTGTGCATTAAAATATGCAGAAACATTCTCTGTAGAATGTGTATTTATTTTCACTTTATTCAAAACAATTTTTGAATTTTTTTTTAATAAATATGACACTTTTCTATTTTCTTCCATATTGTACAACTCTTAAAGAATTAAAAAAAGAAAAAAAAGTTGTGAAGTGTATTAAATCTGTGTCTTGGTTTTTAGGTACTTCCAGTGCCAGCCCAAATATGGTCTTTTTGCCCCTGTGCACAAAGTGACCCGCATAGGCTTCCCTTCTACCACTCCTGCAAAGGCAAAGACCACAGTGCGAAAAGTAGTGGCTACACCAGCAGGTTTGAAACGCAGTCCAAGCACCTCCTCAATCAGCTCTATGAGTTCTGTGGCTTCGTCTGTAAGCGGCAAGCCCAGCCGTACAGGACTGGTGAGTCATAGACACATTGACTCTGCGTTTACCTTCATTAACTCAACCAACTGGTCGGTTAAGGTTCTGATAAAAACCTAGACAGCACCTGCTGGAACATACACAGAACTGAGCAGATAAAACAGGAGCAGTATCTCGAAAAGATGTACAGAAGGACACACAGGTACTTCAGTCTCTCAGGTTGCTACATGCAAAAAAAACAAAGGAGTTTCTTTGATTTGGATAGTGAAAATATGTCAGCATTAAAAACAAGCTACATTCAAATTGACTTAACAAAGTCTGCAAAAAATAATTTTGGTCAAATACTGACGGTCAGAGGGGGTGTGACACAGACTGTGATCTAATCTAGACTCTGAACATGCCACATAATTATTCTTCTTCAACTGATTTAGGTCTGACATAATTAAATCACTGAAATGTAAACAAAGTGACTCAGAGTGGTTAGATGTGAAGTGATGGGAACCAGGGGTCGTAATGTTTACATTTTTTATCTATCCAAAACCATCAGTGAACTTCACATGTCTACTGATTTGTTTATATGTAATGTTGATAATAGTGAAATAGTGATAAGTCTGGAAAAAAAAAAACATCCTTGGGTACTTTTTTACCTTACAACACCATTTTATGCCAAAACCATATCTCAAAACTGTAGGAAAATATGTCATTCATGACCATTTATTAACTTTGTGTGTTAGCTTTTAGAGGCATAAAACCCTTCAGATGTCTGGTTCCTATCACTACCACTGTGAACAATTTTGAATTAGCAAGTTTTTCTAGAATTGAGCATTTTACATCTAACCACTATGAATGTTTCTAATTAATGATTGAATTTATGTGAAAAGAAAAAAAGAACAAATGCTGTTTACAAAAATGTAGGCAAAACATTATGGTGTCCGGTACATTCTGCATAACTTGCATTTAGTTTTGCTGTATTTTGATCCTCACTATCATGTTTTATTCTGTCTTTTTTGGGTGACCTCATAGTTGATGATCTTTGTAAGATCACCTGGGTCAGCCTACTTTTATAATTTTGGGAAAGCCAGATTTTCACTCTAAGAATACTAGTTCAGCAAGAAAGACTGAAACTTACTAATGTTCTGATTCTGTTATTGCCAAGTAACCCGTTTTATTTCAATGTACCTTTTGTGTTTGTGTAGTTAACAGAAACATCGTCACGGTATGCCCGTAAGATTTCTGGAACCACAGCACTGCAGGAGGCACTGAAGGAGAAGCAGCAGCACATCGAGCAGCTCCTCGCTGAGCGGGACCTGGAGCGGGCTGAGGTTGCCAAGGCAACCAGCCATGTGGGGGAGGTATGGTTTGGTGTTTTTTATGTTATTTTATTATTATTATTTTGTTTTTATTAATTTATTTGTTCAAAAATTTTGCCTTTTTCATTTATCAGTTTTTCTTTAAACCAGGGGTCTCAAACTATTGGCTTGTCACATATTTACAAGTTATTCTTAAATCTTGCCAGCAAATCATTTAAAAAATAAAAAATGACATCTGACTGTTAGATTTGCTTCACTCACCAGACACTGTTGCTGGTTACCCAGCATAAGCTGTATAAAATCAGGTTAAACTGAGGGTAATGCTGTTAAGCTGAAGTGGAGCACTGCATGCAAGAAGAGCCATTCCAACTAAAACATGATGCAGCATGAATGCTACACATTGAGAAAGCGTGGTTGTGATTTATCTAAAACTGTCTTGCCATTATTAGAATTTACAACAATGCCCTCATGGATTTATTCATGGCACATGGGGAGATACAGTGTTAGAAATAAGAAATGAATGGAATTATGAAGTGAATCCACTGAGAACTATTCTTCTGTTAAGACTTCACTTTTGCTGTTAAATGTTAGTTTACTTGATTTAATTGAACCTTAAGGTATTTATTAAACTATGCCAGTATAAAACTACTGAATAATAATGATGATGATGATAATAATAATAATAATAATAACAATAATAATAATAATAATAATAATAATTCAGGTTTTGTAGTTAATTCATAGTTGCCCCCAGATAAATTGAGTTTGAGACCCCCCCAGCTTTAAACTGTTGTAGTAAAATACTCAGTCAAAATGGACTTTATGACCTTTAGATGGAGGCGAAGATGGATCACCTGCGTACCCTGGTGGAGGCTGCAGACAGGGAAAAGGTGGAACTGCTGAACCAGCTGGAGGAAGAAAGGAGGTGAGCTGGGTGTTCGGGGATATTTTGGTGTGGATGAAAGGTTTGTGAGTATCTTTGCTGCTGGAAAAAAATAAGTGCTGATGCTTTGAGGACAAAGGAACTAGCAGGAATGTTGCACCTAATTTATTGTACTTCATTGTTGACTAAAATTAAAGATTGTCCTTCTAGCTAATTCAACAAACAAAAGAAAACATGCAGTACAGGACAAATACTATGTGTTCATTCTCTGGATTCTAAAATTCAGTTCCCCTTAAGGCATCACTCCAATATTTTCCACAGAGGAGCTGTTTTCTCTTCACAATGCTGTGTGAAATGAACATCTGCCACAGAACAGAACATTCTCCATTCAGTGAGGATACTTCAGTAGCAGTCAACTAGCTAATTTTTTTTTGCAAGATGAAAATATCCAGATTTTCTTATTTTGTCAATGCTACAAAGTTGGCAAGCACAAAGCCTTAACAAGCACTAACAGCTAGCTCATAAAACGAGTATACCATTTGTTTTCCAAACCTCTCAAGTCTGATAGCAAGAGCTCTGGGAACATTTAAATTATAAGGAGTCTATTGTCTCCACAGTGTGGCTGTGGATGCAATAATATAAAATGTATACATTATATACATATACAAATATATACATTTGTAAGAATTAATTTTTTGTTTGTTTTTGTTTTGTTTTTCTGGTCTTGTTTTGGTGAGACCCTTTCTGACTTTATAGTCAACTCATTTAGTTTAAAGGGGAATTTCACTGATTTTTCACAATTTCTGAATAATTCAGTCATTGAGATGTAAACAAAGTAATTCAGAGTATTTTGATGTTAAATGATGCGTTGTAGAGAAACTTGCTAGCTCAGAGCTGCAGTGGTGGTAATAGGAATTTACTATAGAGAAGAGTGAATCTACACTCTTCACACGCCTGGTTCCTGTCACCACCGATGTTGACAATTCTTACTCAGTAAATTTCTGTAGAATGGAACATTTCACATCAAACCACTCTGTATGACTGACTGTTTACATGTTAACCATTTAATAATGCGTTTCCACTGCACACTGAATTCTTTCTCTGCTTTTTTTGCCAGCACTTGAGGGGCTTATCTGTCTACTGTATTGTATGTCTGTTGGCATGAATGAACATGTCAATCAGTCGTGGATTTCAAAAAAGTTTCAAATAAATTCTCTTTTCATGTAGGCTACTCTTCTAAACTTTAAAAGCTCAGTTTAGTTCAGTATATTTTGTCTGGCTGCATAGGCTATCAGCCAACAAAAAAGATATGTATTGGCTCGCTGTAATTGTGATTCAGTACAGTCTTTTTAACTCACTGGTGCTACATTCTCTTGTAATGGTGTGCCGCAATTGTAAAGATTAAAGGGAAGCCTGGAATGTATCATACTCACTGTTAGTATGATGATTAGTGCTGCAACAAAGAACTGATTTGATAGTCGAATAATCTATAGATTATTGACATGAATAATATAATGCTAATATAAAAAATTCCAATATCTTTTTCCTGTCAAAATTTAAAGCCAAGGATGTGCAAAGTAGCAGCAATAAAATATTACAGAATTAAATTACTTTTCCCTTAATCAAGTAAATAAAAAATCAGTCTAAATTTAACTTTTAAATTTAAACAGTGCATTCTGTGCTTTGTACATTCTGCTGTCTGTCTACACTCTGTTGCGGCTAAATTCTGCAATAACAGGTCTTTATTAAAACAGAGGAAAGTCACCATCTCTACATGCTTTTATGAGAGGCTTGCTCTCTTCTGAGAACAGATATTCCCTGCTGCAGAGAAGATGCGCTCTGATTGAGTGGATGGGAATGTGGCAAACGTTTGTGGCAGACTTGTTCTCTATGAATAGTTCAATTTGAACAATTTTGTGTAGACGTTTCATTTCAACAGTAACCCTTCGTCCAGCTCCCGTGTGTGTTTGCGTGAAACTACTGTTAACAAACATTCTCCCATGTTTGCCAAATTTAAACGCATGCGTGTTCCTGTCTGCTCAGTGGATGAAATGTGCTTCCATGCCAGCTAAGGTCAGCTTAACAATTAGCACAACTGACAACCTTTTTTCCGTTTAAGTGTGAATTACTCCCACACTTTGAGAATTTTGTTCTTGACAGTTGCCATTGTGCTTTTGTTAACTCTCTACTAAGCGGTAATGTAAAAAACATTCCTAGTTAGCGCAAGAAACACACGTGATGATGTCACCAACTAATCAACGATTAAAGTAGTTGGCAACTAATTTGGTCATCGATTTTAGTCGACTAAGTCGAATGACCGTTTCACACCTAATGATCAATGTAATTTGAAAGTGTTTTCCTTCATCTTTTTCTCCACAAACAGAAAAGTGGAGGACCTTCAGTTTCGAGTAGAAGAAGCTTGTATTACCAAAGGCGATTTGGAGGTAAAGAGACTTGCAGACATTGTCCAAACACGTTTCAGAAATCCAGTAAGCTTCATTTTTCTTATCCTTATCTTGAATACTTTCACATTATTTGGTAGATTAGTTGTGAAATTAAAATGGAAAATGTTTTAAAACTGCTTCCCAGCGTAACATTTTTTTAAGATGCACATATATATGTAATTACCAATCATGTTTTCACAATGTTGAAGTCAATTCTGTGAGACTAGAACAATGCCGAAAGAAGTCATTCCTTTTCATTTGCCCTGCATCTCATCTTCACTTCTCCCTCACTCTTCCCTGTTCCTCCCAAAAATCAGAGCATGTATGAGTTGACAAGGGATGAAATGCCATATTCAACAACTTGTGTTGCTTAAGAGGATCCTGACCTCATTTAATGTAAAGCTTTTTACATGGGAGCATTTTTAAAGATTGATTTTGTCCAAGAATTGGAATTGTGTGAAACATTTAGAATTGGTTCAGGAAAGAGTGAAGTAACACCCATCCCTACAGTAGTGTAGTGTAGTGTCCCTGCTGAGATCCTTTTGTTTGTAAGGTTGTTTGTAGTAGGCTTCTTACCATCTATAAAATATTTTGAAATTTAAATAATTTAATTGCCAAATTAACTCTACTTTTAATGAGATACTTTGTTTGAAAATAAGACTTCTTTTTCCACTGCAAATTTTAGTCTGAAAGATCTTATAAGGTGTAAAATTTACTATTACTATTTTTTTGTTTAATAGAGGGTGAAAGTAGCTGATTAGTTTGTGAATTAGTCAAACCGGATACAGTAACTTGCAAAAGTCTGTCGCTCAGTTGTATGAAGGTCTATAAACTTGCCACTTTTATGCAAAGCTCACTAGATTGAAGAGCATTTGAGATCTTTAGACACATCGTTCAAATTTAGAAACAAACTAAAAAAAAATGCGAGCGCAGAATTTTTTTTTCGTCTGTTTGGTTTCACTAGGGCACTGCACCAACTTCCCCAAAGGAAATGGCTTAAATAAATAGTGCAACCAACAGCAAAAAAGCAAATGGCTATGTTTCTCAATATACATTTTGTTTAAAAATGTAGCTGTGTTTGTCTTTCTTAAAATGTTAATAGACTAATTACACTTTGGAAATAAATCTAGAACAGTTGCATTGCTGTAGAGTTCATTTTAGTTGCTATGTTAGTTTCCATTTCTTGCACGAAGAGCTCGACAGAGCTTTTTTTTCAGTGGAGTTACAGTGTAGAGTGAACAGTGTAGTCTGATATTAAAGTAGCCTTACACAGGCCCTGGACTGTGAAGCCTTGTAGGCTGGAAAAATCCAGCTGCAAAGGAGTAGCATTGCCCAAGCAGCTTTGTAGCTTTGTACAGGGAGATTCACTCAAAAGAGGCCCCAAATATTCTGTTGTAACTCTCGTTAGGATGAAGCAATCTGAACCAAAAAATACACTACATACCTTCACATATGTGTAATCGATTGCATTACATGCGATGCTGGAAGTGATCGCCATTTTCTGCCAGACACATGAAGGGGTACGAGGGTATGCACCCGGAAGTTGCAAACAGAGGTTGGCTGTCCGGCGCCTACCTCATCTCTCCGACGCAGGGGCATCTCAGCTTGTTCAAAGCTCCATATACTGAGGAGCACATTACACATTGTTTCATTCAGATTGCTTCGTGCTAACGAGTTATTACAGAATATTCGGGGCCTCTTTCGAGTGAATCTTCCTGTAGTTGCGGTGTAACATCAAATAAGTGGCCAGTCCAAGAAGCTTCTGACTTTCTGGGAAAGTCACTCTCGTGCCTGGAGTCATCTCGGTGGATGAGATGACTCCATAATGGTAGACTAAACTTTATTAGCTGGTCTGTTCTAGTAGATCCTGCTTGCGTATCGAAGAGAAGTTTAGATTTGATGCAGTTGTTGAGCCCTTGGTAAGCATGACAAAAAGTTTGACAACATTAAATTGTGCAGTGCTTAGGCCTTTCATTACCAGAGATGCCCAGGCACATTATAAAAATTGTTCTAGTATGTGTTTAATTTGAAATTAGATGATTACCGAAATGCCATAATGTTTTTCTGCATAATTTTCCAGGGTGTCTTTTTATTTGTGCAGTACTGCACCCTCTGTGCATCAGAGAAATAGCTGTATTTGAGGCACATTTTGTTGTAGTGGGACAGGGATTGTGCTGATAAACCATTTTGGCACACCAATTATATGTCTGTTGGCAGATGAGATCAGCTTGTTGAAGTCCTTCAGATTTATCAGCATCATCGAAAGTTTTACTGTTATAAAGCACCCATAGTGGATTGCTGAATTTTGTAATAGACAGACTTCTCTGGCATGAGGTTACCATTCATCATTGATGATTTTAGTTTTTTGTGCTTCATTCATCACTAATAATTTAGTTTTTGAGTGCCAATCTTTTAGAGATTGCTAAACTGACACTGTCTGCTGGTATACTTTTGCTACAGCAGTTTAGGTTGAACTGGTAAATTTAAACATAAAACATGGTCAAAATTACAAAAACGTGAAATGCATCCATGCTCATATTTGGCATGGCATAGCATGTTACAACACAAAGGTAAATCCTGCTTGGTAATTATTTTTCAGAGTTAGCTTCATGTTCTACATTTGAGTGCATTTCGCTTTATGTTACTGTTGTTATTCTGGACTTCTGTTGCTCAGCAGGTAGATCTTATAATTTAGTGAAGATCCTAGTCATCAAATACATCATCTTTAAAAGCTCTTGACTAATGGTCTAATTAATAATTTTTTAACTGTAGTGGTTGTGTATTAACTACTGCTAGTTGTAAATGAGCCTGACTTTCTATAAAGGTAAATTTCATTGAAATTGTATAAGTTTATTAGTAGTAGTTGGCCCAAATCCCACCATGTGAATACAAGAAAGAGTAAACAGTTACAAAAGGTGCTTGTATTAAATTATTCTTACCTAAAGAACACGTGTTAAAGCCAAGAATGTGCTTATTTTATTCTACTCTGTGAAATTGCATTTTATGCATTGCATTTTGTCCAGTTACCATGTATGTGTACTTTGTAGTTCTACAATTTCGTATAGTAGTTTGTCTTTTTCTCTGCATAATTTGTTAGCACCCCACAGGACCACTGTTGTTGAGTTGTGGAAGCAACTGTGAAGCAACAGATAAGTGATCATCTCTAACTTTACAAGGTAGACCACCAAAGTAATAATGTCCAGAGTGGACAGTAAGGCCGGCAGTGTATTTTAAATGTTGAAAAAACTAAATGAAACTGAACTACTGCTGCGCACACTGTCCTAAGTATACTTACTGGTGTGCATCTCAGCAGCAGAGGAAGCCTATTTTGTGCAGACCGACTTCAAGGGGAGGTTTCAGAATGAATGACACGGTGATGTTCACTATTTGTGAATGACTTTTTATATTAAGAGAATATTCAGTCTTTTCAATGGTGAAATGTTTGTATTTTCTTTGAAAATCTCGCACATCATAATTTATCACAGTTCATCAGTTTTACTGATACAATGAACTGACCACTACAGCGCTCAAGAGAGGTCTGGATGAAACTGCTCTGTTCAGCTGGGGCTTTTTTAAAACCTTGTAAAGGGAGGGTCATTGTTGCTGGTGTGAGGTCACATTTATCCTTAAATCTTCAAATTACATTATAATTTAACACTTTGTAACAATGAAATCTTTTTCTCTGTGTTGTGATGCTGTTTTTTTTGATGTGCTCTTGCTCACCTTCTCAGTTTCTCATTTAAAACAGCCTGTTGTACTTCACCTGACTCATTGTTCTCCAGCACCAGCATGTTTTCTGTTGGCAGCAGCCTCATCAGCATTTCTGCATCGAGCATTGCCCTTACCTTCACCAGGCTCTGTGCATCCTCAGCTGTGACATTACCCTGGCCTGCATGTGACATCACAACTCACCCCCCCCTCCCCTACCCTCCTTTCCCCTCCCCTTTTTCTCACCCGTGTGCGTTGGGCTGGCATGTGATGGTGGCACTGGATGTATTTCTTCCTCTCCCCTTCTGTACTAACAGACGCAGACCAGACTGGAGCATGCCCTCCTTAAGGAGCTCGAGCAAAGTCTGCTCTTTGAAAAGACCAAAGCTGACAAACTCCAGAGGGAGTTAGAAGACTCTAGGGTAATGGATCTCAACCTGCGCCTTAGTTTTAAGGAATATTGGTCTACAATTTATTTTAAACATATTTTACACTAGGCTTATCTTCATATAACTTTTTCATAGTTTTTAATAGCTGTTCCTGTTCAGTCCTGGGTCATATACAAATATCAGCACCTTTGATTTTTTTTTAAATGCTTTAGTCAGACATTTGGAAAGACATCTGCTTTTAATTAAGTACAGATGTGTATATATTCATTTTTTAATTAAGCCTTTCTAATAAATATTTCTAATAATCAGGTATGGCCACTCATTGCCATTATTTTTATTGTATTAAAACATGTCTTTTCGGACATAATTAGATGCACTTGGTATTCTGAGTTTGAACACTAAGTGTACAGAAATATAAAAGTAGTTTGGAAGGCTTTGTTCTATGTGTAACGCATTCTGGGTATTGTAGTGAAAGAACATTGATAAACAAAAACACAAAAAATCATGATTTGACAAAATTAAATAATGACCAGTAACATGTAGATGCGAGTTTTGGGCCAGCATGCCCCATAAAGCCATTTTATTAATAGACCATGTTCTGCTCATCTGACATGCTAATAAACACTGAAAAAACAAAACTATTTTGGTAAATGGTATAAAACTATTTTGTACTATGTTTGAATGTATGGATATCTAAACTCATCATAGTATTTATTTACTTATTTGAAGATTCGACAAAGGTATAAAACCTTCCATGTTTTTAATTTTTAGATGTTTATGAAGTACTGGTGGATAAAAGTGGATATTTAGGTCATGTAAATGACCATAAGGGTCAAGAGTAATGCTTTGCATCAGTGACTCTGCCAATGTTTTTTCTTAAAAATATAAATATTTTCCCTTTGGAATTTGTTAAAATGGACCAAAGTGGAAATTTGAAATTGTTAAAGTGTAGCCTATGTGTGGTAAACACTAATCTTGACAATGGTTACACTACCCACCTAAAAGTGCAGCACTTAATGGAAAAATTACAGATAGCGGAGGAGGCAGTGCAGGTTTGTACTCAAACGTCATACTCGAACATCAATTTTTAAATTATTTATTTGTTCATTTATTTATTACAATATATTAAAAAAAGATTTCCTGCAAATTGTGTAATTCTTTAATCACCTGGCATGACTGTTGTGCTTCACCATCTTAATATGCATCTATCGCAGAAACCCAGCAGGGTGAATAACTAAAGATAAAGTAAAGTAACTAAAACCGTTGTGGGTCCCCCCAGCTTTTGTTATCACTGACTTGTATTTATGTGAGGATGAAAAAAATCCTAACCCAAACAGTCCTCACCGCCCTTATGGGGCATGTGCTAATGTGTATACCAGAACCTTACTGAAGTTCTCAATGTAGTAATAACAATTTTACATTGGTCTAATGATATAATTAATGTATAAAAATGTTTTTTAAAAAGTGTAAATCTGAACAATCCCACATTTGCACAGGTTGACTATAGTAATACAAATGTTGTGTTAACAAAATGTCAAAAACACATAATAGACATCACTAAACAAAAACGTACACTACCATTCAAAAGTTTGGAATCACTGGAGTCATATTAATAATGGTTATTTTATTGAATAATAATTTCCACTCTGATTGATTGAAATGCTATAAACTAGGCATCCAAAGGTGTGTGTTTGTTTTTGTTTTTTTAAAATATATTTAATGTTTGGCAGCAACAAGAAGTTATCTGTCTGAGACTTGATCACCCCTTTTTTTTTTTTAATTATAAAGCAATCTGGATGATAACCTCATTCTCAGTGTTACCCATCTTTCTCAGTCATTATGGAATCATCTGAAGCTCTGTTCATGTTTCTAGACACATGCGAATGAATGATTAATTCTTTCCATCATTCATTATTTCAATTAATCAGTCAATCACACCTTCCTAAAAATGATTTGAAACCTATAAAGCTGGTTTCCCCGACATAATCGTAGTCTTGGACTAAGTTGCAAAGCCTCTGGTGGTTTACCATTGAAAATCCGTTTCAATCTAGGATTAGGCTTAATCTGGTTCTGGGAAATCAGCCCGTGATTTTCTTAATAGAATCATTTTAGTCAAGTACCTGCACCCAGATGATAATCTGTATGATTATATAGTCCGTTCATTCAAATGCATGTCCATTTAACTTTTTCATTCGTAATAAATTTTAAATAGTGTTGATGTAGTAACTTCTACAGTCTCCATGAAGGAAAAGTGTAGTTTATTTTAAGACAGCCAATTAATAGTACTAGTCACATGGATTATTAAATTATCCCTCATCTTTTGTACTCTTAAAATGTATAATGTTCTGATTGCATTCCCTTTCAGAAATTTAGACACACAGAAGCTTTTGCACCTAATGTATTTCATGTAAAACTATATATTAAATAAGAACATACACTATATGTCCAAAAGTGTCCACAAAGCTTCTAATTAGTGAATCCCGCTACTTTTAATGTGCAACTATTGGCGGCACAAGTGTTGAATTGTGCACATACAGCTATAATTTCCATAGAAAAGCATTGCTAATAGAATGGGTACACTCCACAGCAAGTGCACATGAGCCTAAGATTGCCATGCCCACTGCCAAGGTAGAGGGGTATGAAGCCCCCCCAGTGTTGGGCTGTGGAGTGAAACTGTGATCTCTACAGTGATGGAACTCACTGTAATACCTTTAGGATGTGTTGGAGTTTGTGATTTAGAACTGATCATCTAACATCAGTACATGACCTTACTAATGCTCTTGTGTCAAAATGTAATCAAATCCTCACAGCAGTGTTCAAACATCCATTGTAAAGAAAATCTCTTGATTTTGGAAGATATGCTGGATAAGCAGGTGTCTACAAACTTTTGGACTTACAGTGTACCCCAGGAGCTTAAGCAAATTGCTAATGAATTTTACCCCATACAGCCTCTTGAAAGTACAGAACATATTGCCAGGTTTCGGCAGTTCTGTCTGCTTCAGACGGAAATGCAGATGGAATTAATCAAAATGTTAACTTGTGCTAATTCTTTGTGTGATTTAAGGTGGTAGTATTAATAATTCTGTGCTACGTATTTTTTTATTTCATCATATAATGTAACTATGGGATAAAGTTAAAACGGTTAAAATATTTAGATGCTGTTTGATAAAATCAGAAATAATAAAATTTAATTTAGGAAAATTAAAACACAAAAGCCTTAACAATTCCTCAGTATTTTTCTTTAAGAACATGTAATGCTCTTGAACAATGCTCTTTGGGCAAATTATTTCTTTATTGAGATGTAGGAAAGTGCAAGGAAAGGCTGTTAAAAAAGGAACAAAGTTTTTTGATGTCCAAAATGAAATCAGAAGCCAATGAAGTGATCTCAAAACAGGCATGTGGATTTGCATGAATTATAGTTCATCACAGTCAAGACTAAAGCATGATTGGTAAAACAGAGAGCTGCTTCTTTGTATCACATATATCAGGAACAAGGTGTTTTGTATTCGGCCCAGGTCTGTGTCATTAGTTTCCATACTAACATATATGGCAGATTAATATTGACACTAATGACTCAAATAATAGTGGTGGTGCTCTCTTAACTGCAGACTAATACTTTAATAATAATGATCACATCTGGCAACTGGGGAGTTTTTAATATTTTGGGCTGTTTTAGGCCTTTGAGTTCCAAACATGCTCCTAGTGACTTGAATCAAGTTATTATGGGTGAATCAGGCTCATATAGCTGATTATCAGTTTCACCCAGTCTACACTGCTTCTGGCACGTTTCCATCGCAAAGAGAAATGTATCAGAAGATAAATGCTTTTAATACTGTAATTTATACCTTTTAACAACAAAAAATATAATTGAATTAAATTACTAAATAAGCAAAAGCTATTAGTAATAGAATAATTTATCTTGATTAAGACATTTTATTATCAAATTGCAGATAATAATGGTCACAGTAACAAAAGACTATAACAATGCAGTTCATCAACAAAGGGATTGGAGCACAAAAGTAGAACTAGAAAAACTACTGGAAAACTAGTAGCTGGCTTACCTGTCTAAATACTTACGTTTTCTGTAGCTGATGCAAGAGTTGAGATTGAGGAAGACTTATATCCTTATATGCTCACTTGCTGAGCACTAATGGAACAGAGATGCATCATGCTTAATGTAGATATAAGCTCAGTCCTGCCCAGTCATCCTGTCCGTGTGTTTTGTCTTTCAAACCCTTTCCTAGCCTTGAGGTACCCTTTATTAGGCCCCAGAAACCTGCCCTTGAGAACTCACTGAACCTTATAAGTGAAACATTGTGAAGGCCAGTTAGTCTCATCTAATGGGGCTGCTTGGAACTCACTGCAGCACTCAAATGGCCCATGGTCCAATCCTTATACCCTGTTTCTTTTCAAAAATTTTAAGTATGTCCTTCAGTTCTGCTTTTGGATAGTGCCTTTCGATTCTACTTGTGTTTGCTAGTTTATTCAGTTTGAGATTCCAACACTGACAAGCACTTACATATGGCTAGATCCTTATTCTCATTTTGCATACTATTGTATGAATACTGTAGCATTTTCAGCCTAGCCTCTACCACATCACATCGTTGATCATCACTCACGATAATTTCGACTTGTTTCCCTGTACTTAGAAAAGAACTGAAAACCCATTGGCTTAAAACTCAAAAGTATAAGCCATTGAGCAGTTGCTGAGTTCTCTAACCAAATGTTCGAAATATGTGACCGTATAAAATTCAAAACTGCTCATTCTCGCTATCCAGATACTAACATCCAGAACGTGCAATGTGTTTCTCTAATAATTACTGCAGTGTGTAAAATAAGCCCCTCTTAACAAAGCATGAAAGCAAGTCAATAAAAGCCTGGTGCAGGAAGGAGCAACTCTTTCTGTTACGTGATGACTTCAGACTATTACATTATGATTGAATGTAGGCTAAAAAATAAACATGTTGGATTTTAGTGTAATTTTTAGGAAAGGTAATGGGTACAGGGTCTGCAGTTGATCAGTTAGACTTTGTAGCCCTAAAATAAATGAGAAGAGTACCGCTTAATTTACTAATGCCTTTAACTGAAGTATTCATGGAAGTGTTCTACAAAAATATCTGTTTTTTAATAAACGTTTGCTGACTGAATTCAGCAGCTGCCCATTCTGTTGAGTCAATGGGTTGTCTTTCAAGGTCGAAGCACAAGGAATCGTGTCAGTAATTGTTTGTTATATTTGACCGTACACTGCAAATATGACAGATGGGGATTAGGCAGAAAAATGATTCTTATAACGAACATAATTTTGTATGAGACTATTGGTTGTCCTGTCTTTAGGTTGCCACAGTGTCTGAGAAGTCACGCATTCTGGAACTGGAAAGGGACCTTGCTTTGCGGGACAGAGAAGTGGCTGCCCTTCGGCAACACCTGGAGGCCAGACCTGGAGAGGGAGCTTCTACTCAGGACCCCACAACTGTAGTCCTTCAGGAAGAGGTCAATTCACTCCGTGCCCAGCTGTCCTCTCTAAGAACTAGCCATGAGGCAGAGCTGGCTGCCCTGAATGCCAAGCTGGAGGCTGAAGAAAAAGCACATTGTGAGGCTTTGGCTCATATCCAGGCCTCTTCAGCACTTTTATCCAAAGACAATGAACAGCTTCGCACACGATTAAGCGAGGCAGAGAAGGAGAATGCAGATGTTATTGAGCTCTGGCGCTCCAAGCTAGCCTCTGCCATCACTTCACATCAGCAAGCCATGGAGGAATTGAAGGCCTCTTCAGGTAAGGGGGTCACCGACTCTCAGGCAGTTGAACTTGTTGAGTTAAGGGAGGCTTATGAAAGGCTGAAGGCAACGCACAGCCTGGAGCTGGAGGAGAGCATAGCCAGGCACAATGCTGATGCTAAGAGGTGGATGCAAGAAGGTGAAGAACTACAAAAACAGTTACTTTTTGTAACTGAAGAGAAGGAACGATTGGTTGAATCTCTGCGAACTAACCTGGAAAGCGTAGAGGAGCAGCACCTGGTGGAGATGGAAGAAGCTTTGGGCAAGTTGCACAATGCTGAACTTAGGATAAAAGAGCTAGAGGAGGAAAGACTTAAGCTGGGACAGCAGGTGGAAGAGAAGGCCCAGGAGGTTGAGGACCAAAAAGCAGCCCTTCAAGCCCTTTGCTCTCAGCAGAGCCAAGGCAACCAGGAGGTTCAAAGTCTATTAGCCCGTCTAGAAGAAGCAACAAGCAAGGCCAGGTCACAAGAAGGCAAGGTGAGGCCAAATTGTTTTTACATTCTGTGTAGTCAAATGGAACAGTGCTGCTTGCTTTGCAAAATTTTTCTATTTTTCACTTAAAATAGTCTGGGGCCACAGTTGCAGCCTCCTGCTTTGTTGGATTGAAAACCTGCGCTTGCTCTTTATGGATAAGGTTGGAAACCCCTGGCATAGTGGGTAACATTACTGCCCTCAGTGTTGTATGCTGGAATTTGTTTCCCTGCATGGGCAGACAAACCACTTTTTACTAGTAAAAGTCCTTGGGCAAGATTCCTAACACTACATTCACCTATCTCTGTAATGTATTTTGTATTGTAAATCGCTCTGGATAAGAGTGTCTGCCATATGCACAAATGTAGATTCATTGCTCAGGCCATTCATCACTTACATGAAGTGTGTAAGCCTTTTACCAGGCACACTTGCTCACGTTATAACACTCAGGATACCTTTTAATTAATTACAAACACAATTCTGAAAAAGTTGGGTCAATAGGTGAAGTGCAAATAAAAACAAAGCAATGGTTTGTCAACTGTGTGTTACAGGTATTTAAGTGAAAACAGCAGAAATAAGAGACATTTGGTATTTTATTTTATAAACTCATTTAATCATTTTGTAAATATAATTCCAAATTTGATGCCTGCAATACATTCCAAAAAAGCTGACAGGGGCAGCATAGAACTGTCTTTGTACTGGTTTCAATTAAATACAAATCATTGCTGTCTGTTTTTATTTACAATTTCCTTTCTTTGTTTTTTCATTGCTGCTAGGTCACCGAGTTGACCTCTGTGCTTGAAGGCAAGCAGCAGGAGATGGAGGGCCTGCAGCAGAGCATGGCCTCACAGCAGCAAATTAATAGCTCTCTAGAGAAAGAGCTCCTTGACTTGGTAAGATGCATAAGAATTGAGTTAATTGAAAGAGGTAACAGTAAACAGCAGGGCAGGCTATACTGTATAGTGCAACATGAATTGTATTATAAGCTCAAGCAAGAGTGACCCTGAAAAAAACAGTTAGGTGTTGTTTTACTCTGGGTTTCGCAAGTACTGATTTATTTCTATGTCTAGCAAGGTTGTTTCATTTGTTTATTTGTTTGTTTAATAGAAAGAAAAGCTCACCACATCTTTAAATGAAAAAACAGAGTCCTCAAACGCTATGCAAAGTAAGTGTATGTTTTCTTCTTTCTTTGCCTGCAGTTTAAAAAGTAATCATTTTTATTTGTGTTCTGTTGAATGTAAGAATAATACTATATGACTATGTAGGACTGTTACCTCAGTACAACTGTTGTTTTCCAATTTATAATTGTATGTACAGTAGTCGTAGCCAAAAGCTACAATGCTCTTGGGTTTTTGTTTGTTTGCAACTTTTTCACAAAATTCAAATAAAACATATTATTCTGATAAAACAGATTAAACAGTTATTCTGAATAAAAATGAAAAAAAAAGACATACTTGCACTATACATTTTTTAACTATACTGTGTTCAGTAGGTTAGTGTTTCTATATAGTTTGATATTTTATCCAATGCCTTTTGTTTGTATTCCTTTGTTTCTTCAGAGTTACAAGAAATGCTTATCAAGAAAGAGGATCAGTGCACATCTCTTTTCACTGAATCAGAAACACTCAAAGTCCATCTTTCTGGTAAGTGTTCTGAGATCGTAAGTCCAAATATCAGTGATTTTGATCCTGGTTTGAACCTGTATGTAATTGTCAGATTAAACCTTTCTGTTTACAACTTTTTTCTTTTTCTTTTCAGATGCAGAGATGAAATTGAAAGCAGATGAAGAGAAGCTTGACCAGCTAACTAAAGATAAGACTAAGCTTGAAAATGACATTAGTGACTTGCTAAAATCATCTGGAGACAGCTCTGCTCAGCTGACGAAGATGATGGAAGACCTCAGTCAAAAAGAGAGGTACACTTTGAAATATTTATAACATAATATAGCTATATACACGGAGTTGCCACTTCATTGAGTACTCCTACTTTGTACTTAAGCTCAGTTCACTAAATCTACAAAAACTATGCAAAGTGTATAATAGCAATTGACTCATCAGCATACCACTGTAGTTTACATTCTGATGCACTTATTAACTTCAGTATCATTTGGCTTCTGCTGCGTTACCAAAGACAGAGGACAACTTCCAAATGACAACAGGCATGACTCAAGCTCAAAAACTATTTAGTGTTTCCTTGAACGTTATTATTCTGTACTTGTTATAAGTTCTTTCGATGTTTTCAATGTCCAGTGACATGCCTCTTTCTTTCATACACATGCTCCAACCAAACTGGTAAATAAAAAAAATAAAAAAAATCGCATTCTGTTGCTACATAAATATATGACTGTGAAACTGCAAAAACAGTCTCGATCAAATCACATAACCCCAGTCACTTCAGATAGTTGCAGTTAGGTGATCATGTAGTAATTGTGACAGGCCTGTTATAATAAACAACCTCCTTATGTACATGCCACTGTATATTTTATTTATGAAATCTCATAGTGCTTCATATAGGTGTATAAATAAAATATTGAGAAGATAAATCACTGCTGTAAAAGAAAGCAATAGCACAGCTGACATCAGAAGAAAATGAAGCACAATACATCTAGGCATATGCTTGCCTTAAGAAATATGTTTTTAATCTGCACTAAAGACATGGACTGGACTTAAAACATGAACTTGCATACGTAATATTCACTGGAAAGCTGTTCCAGAGTTGAGGAGCTATATAAGAAATTGATCTTACACCAACTGGGCTTTAAGTGTCTTAAGCATATTATCAGTGCCAACACATTATATCTGGCAAATATCATTGATTTATTATAGCAAATTTGTTTGGTAGATTCCGTTTGTTGTGACCTCAATTGACATGTTAATGCATATTGATATAGGAAACATTTCACAACAGTTTTTTGCATTACATTTATGTTAACACTGCAGATTTACTTTCAAGTCTGAAATTTCTGTTCTCCTTCGTCTGCTTCTTTTTGTTCTCCCCTGGAACATTTCTGTTCACAGGAGACTTGAGGAGCTTCAGAATCAGCTTTTGGAGCAGAAGCAGTTAGTTGCTCGTTCTGAGGAAAGTAGGAATCAGGAGCAGGCTCGAGCCAAACAAGAGATGAATGACACCGTTGGGAAACATCAGGAAGAGGTTTGCACCCTTCAGGAGAAGATGAGACAACTGGTAAGTGCACAGAATGAGATTTACTCTGTTTGTAATAAATTATAGCATTAAATAACATTACCAAACTTGTAAGCCCAGTTCACACTGAAATGACTTAAAATAATAGTTACGTGTGACGGTTTCTAAAACTTCAAAATCACTCAACTTTGAAGGTTTTCAGTTATTTAGTTTCTGTTCTTTCTGTCAGTTCCTCTTATTACAGTGTTTGTCCATGGACGCTGAGCACGCAGCTCAGTCATATGTGTTTCAAGTTATTAGACAGAAGTAACAAAAGATATATAAGCTGATAAAGTTTCTGTTAAGACCAGGGCAAACACAATTGTTTTTCTAAGACAGACAATGGAAAAACAAGGACATTTAAAGGAAAATAAGGATGGGTGGTAACCCTAAATATATGTACTGTTATTGCTGTGCAGGAGAAGAACGTAGAGAAGACTCAAGCTAAAGTTCAAGAAACCCAGGTGTCTGGAGAGAAAGAACTTGCCAATGCTTTAGAGCAGCACTCAAAAGAGCTACAAGTGCTACACAGTCAAGTTGAAACAGCGCAACAACAGCTCTACCTGTCTGAAGAGAAGTGCCAAAAGCTCAAAGAAGAGGTGGAAGAGTTGATGATCTTGAAAGAAAAGGTTCAGGTAAGGGTGAAAAAGATGTATGAAGTAGGAGAGTAGTTCAGCAGTTACATTTTATGGGTTTGAAGTAGTTGGAGTACAGTGACATGGAAAAGGCAGGGTAGAGTGATATTAGATATTAGACAAATTACTTTTTCAGGATGACAGAATTGCAATATTTACATTTTACCTCTGTTGCATACAAAAAATTAGGAGTGTACATATATATTACTATAATACTACGTAGTAGCAGGAATATTCATTTGTTGTGGACATTGTGCAGTTATGAGTGTGTTAAACATGTCTGGCACTCCTAGCCTAGGTTATGGTTTACGCTGAGAATAACTTAAATGTGGGAAGCTTAAAATAACCCTCACACAGTGAGCATTACTAATATCACTGACATTCAGAGTCTTATGACTACCACTGTTACATGGAATTAGCAAAGACTACTTCCTAACCTTTGTAAAGGTGTTGGAATTTTCCAAATATAGCACTTAAACTTTTAACATATAGATTACTAACAGAATAATTAATAAGGTGAGACTTTTATAAGTATTTGTCAAAGTTCACAGCACTTTAGAATAGGATGCACAATGTTTATGGTCAAATGCAACATGCAGTCTGCTACATTCTATTATATATTCTAATGGAAACTTTTGTAAGAGAAAGAAATGCTATTGTTTATTATTCTTGAAATGCTATTGATCAAGAATAATTGTAAATATGTAGTGAGTGTAGGGTGTTCATAGAAATGTGGAAAAGTGGACTATAGTGGAAATGAGTGCTGTGGACAGTTTACAGATAATATACTTGAATTATGATTGTTGTGATTGGTGACACTAGGCTCATTGCTGAGGGTTACATTTGAATTTTAGTGGACTGATTTTTTCTTTTTTTCTTTTTTTCTTTTTGGTCAACTGGGTTCAAAGACTTCATAGCTTATAATTGTAAGTTTCCACATCAACTGAAACCAAGCAAAAAGATTCCTAAAGACAAAATAAATGGACAAAAACTGGGTTGTTCGTATATGCTCTCTCTCGCTTTGTCTCTGTCTGTCTGTCTGTCTGTCTGTCTGTCTGTCTCTCTCTCTCGCTCTCTCTCTCTCTCTCTCGCTCTCTCTCTCTCTCTCTCTCGCTCTCGCTCTCTCTCTCTCTCTCTCTCTCTCTCTCTCTCGTTATATACTGTGTGTGTGCAAACTCTGTGTATGGGTGTATATACAGACATCAATTTAAAAATATTTGGAACAGTATGTGAAATGCTGATTAAAAGCAAATCAATGATTTAGTAAATTTAGTTTGACCTGTATAAAATTGAAAGAGGTACAAAAAGACGACATTTAATGTTTTATCTTATGAACTTCATTGTGGGTTGTTTTTCAGTCAGTTTAGTTTTGTAAGAGGATCTTCAGCTGCTCAACCATATGGAGACTTTGTTGTCATATCATAGTTTTCAATAAGACAGGCCTGGACTGCAGACCTGTGGTATAGTCTTGTATATATCAGTTAACCATGTTTATTGATAATGGTTTGCCAAAGTATCCCCATGTGGTGAAGTCCATCACAGAAGCATGCCGTTTTATAATGCAGTGTCATCTGAGTGATCAAAGGTAATACAGTTGTGCTTTTTTTCCTTGCCCTTTAGGCACAGAGATCTCTCTAGATTCTCTGAATCACTTGATGAAGCTGTGTACTGTGAAATACCTAAAATACCTGAGGGTGAAATACCTAAAATCCTTGCAATCACTAGCCATGTTCTGAATTTTTTTTTTTTTTGTTTTGTTTTTGTTTTTTTTTTTGGAATATGTTGCAGGCATCATTTGTATATATTTCTGAAAACAATGAAGTTGAAGGATAAAACATTAAATATCTTGTATTTGTACTGTGTTATATAAATACAGGTCAAAATGGTTACAAATCACCGCTTTCTGTTTCTATTTGCAGTTCACTTACTGCACCAGCTTTTTAAAGGTTTGTATGTTACAGGGATGTAAATACAGTTGACACTTTAAATTTGTTTCATTGCATCTAATCTGCCGCACAATTCACACACTCCTTTTTTTCTATTTTTTTTTCTTTTTTTTTTAAGGTGCTTATTTTCTTTATTTGTTGCATGTGAGGGTGTTTTTTTTACTTACTTTATCAACATAACCTTCCTATTCTTTTTTTTTTTTTCCCCCCCTTACTCAGTCGCTCACTGCTGAATTGGCTTTCTCCATGCAAAGGGCTGACAAACTTTCTTCTGAGATTAAGGATCTAAAGTTGTTGTCTGAACGTCTGTCTAAGGAAAGAGATGTTCTTCATGTTCGGAAGGAAGATGCTGAGCAGCAAATTTCAGATTCTCAATTGAAGATATCCAATCTTGAGGTCATTCTGGGGGATCTTACGTCTAAAAATAAGGAACTAACAGCACTAAATGAACAGTTAAGCCATGAAGTTAAAGAACTGTGTTTAACCAGCCAGCACTGGCATGAGGAGAAGTCAGCAATCAACACTGAGAAAGAAGAACTTTCCAAGGAGTTGCGGAAGATAATAAAAAATCTGGAAGAAATGAAAGCTGAGAATGCTATTCTGAAGGAGACTGGAGTGAAAAATTTGATACAAGTCAAAGATCTTGAAAAGCGTAATGCTGAGAGTCAACAGGTAATTTTGAAGCATCAGCAGGAGATCCTGCATCAAGAAGCAAACAGTACACAGTTATCGCAGAAACACAAGGAGGTCTGTGAGGAAAGAGACAGGTTTCAGGAGAAGCTGAGATGCTGCAAAGAGGAACTACAATTTGTTAGATCACTCTGTGCAAAGAATGAAGAGCTTCGGTCAGTGCTACAGTCTGAGAAAGAGGATCTGTCTTCCCATAATGCAAAGCTGCAAGCTGAAACTGAATTTCTCCGCAGTGAGCATGCAAAGATTTCGGCAAATCTCAATTCTACTGTATCAGACAAAGAGTGTCTGTTTGTTGAAAATGCAGAGCTTCAGAAGCAGCTTCAGACCACCAAGACCGCATTGGAAAAGTCTGGCAAAGATAATGTTGAGCTTCAAGCTTCTAAGGACAGCTTTGCAAGAATGCTTGAAGAAATCAAGACTAGTAGGGAAATTACAGACTCTGAGAGGCTTGTACTTGTGCAAGAAAAGGAAGATCTCCTTGAAACCCAGAGGAAGATGTATTCTGAGAAGCAAGAGCTAACTAAAGAAGTAGAAGTTCTTGTTGAAAAACTGCGCCTCAGCACGGAAGAGGCTAATGCCACCAATGAGAAGATCCAGCTTGAATCAACAGCTTTTGCCACAGAGAAGCAAATAATTTGTGAAAAGCTCACAGAGACAGAGAATACCCTTCGCACCTTTGAAGCAGAGACAAAATGCCTGAAGTCTGCTCTTGAAAAGAAAAATAATGAAATAGAGCTTTTGGAACAACAAATAAGTAGCTTAAAGGAGAAAAATGACAAAGAAATGTCTGAAAAGGCATCTCTCTTGGCAGAGCAAAAGCAACTAGCAGCAGATTTAGAAAGAGTAAAAGATGACCTGAAGAACTCTCTGATTGCAAATGCTGACTTGCTAAATGAGAAAACCAGTCTAGAATCAGATCTGGAAAAAATGAAGCAGATACAGGAGCAGATAAGTTCAGAGAAGATGAAACTGACACAGGATAATGCCAGTTTTCAAGATCTTCTTGAGAAGATGAATTCTGAGACAAAGTCTCTAGAGAAGGCCAAAATAAGTGCAAGTGAGGAAAATCAGAAATTACAACTCACCTTGGATCATGTGAAGCAGGAGCTTGCCCAGAATATTGACACATTTGCAAAAGATAAAATGTCCCTTCTTTCCCAGCAAACGGAGTTAAACAAAGTCATAGAGGAGCTTCAAAAGTCAAACAGTGATCTGCTTCAGCAAGCTGAAGGCCTCTCCGATCAGAACAAATCTCTTTCAGAAGCCAAGAATTGCTTAGAAACTCATCAGCAAACTCTGGAAAAGGAAAATAATGACTTGTCTGCTATTAACAATAAACTTTCTAAAGAGGTTGAGGAACTTCTGCAAAGCATTACCAGTTATGACAAAGAAAAAGCCAGTCTCCTGGAAGTGCAGTCCAAGTTAAATGCTGAAATTGAATCTAACAAGACTGAAAAGGAGAAGGCAGGGCTGGAGCAACAATTACTGTTTAACCAAGTAGAAGAGTTACATAATTCACTTAAAGAGCTGTGTTCAGAGAGAAAAGATCTTCCTGGAGCTTCCTGTATTCAAAAAGTTGAGGATATATTCTCTGTACTCCAGAAGGTCAATGAAGAGAGAACTTCACTTACCAAAGAAATTGAGCTATTAAAAGCCCAAGAGAAGAAGAATGATGAGGTTAGATCAGATATGATTGTTGAAAAAGACCTACTGTCTTCCAAAATTAAGAAGCTGGAGGTGGAAACTGCTTACCTCATTAAGGAAAAGGGTGATCTTGAAGCCTCACGTTGTTCTCTAGAGCAAGAGGTCCTGTCTCTTCGTCTTAGCCTGGAAACAAGTGACAAGAAGTGCTTTGACTATCTAATGAAGGTGAAAGAGATGAAAGAATCTCAGCTTTCTTTAAAAGAACGCCTACAAAAGCTTCAAGATGACAATGTTAAATTGGAGGAGAAACAAAAAGCTGCAAAAATGCAGGTGACCCTTTTATCCAAGACACAGGATGAGATGGCCTCCAGTCTGGCTGCAGTGCAAGCTCAGAGGGATTCATTGCAGATTGAAAAGGAAGAAGCCAACTCTTTGGTGAATCAACTTAAGGCCCAAAATAACAGTGTTCTATCAAAGCAGCTTGAGGTATTCTGCCACTGACTAACATCTTCAGACCTACTAACAATCACAACGCCTTTAGACTTGGATTTGCTTTCTGCACGCTAACAGGCTTGTCACTCTATCACCCTTAATTTAGTGCACTAATCACTAATTTTATGGTGACTCAAAAGTTGCTTGATGAATTTTCTTCTTTGTTTTTACAAATGCAGAGTTGGGGGTTTTCACTGAAACATGCTTAAGACCACTACTTGTTACGGCACAGTGGATTAAAAATCAGTGCATGTCTGCCCATGCAGGTTCTAAAGAAAAGAAATTTAAGTTTTTACAGTGTATACAGCTTCCTTATTAGTAGAGGTTAGTATTAGTAGTAGTGTTTATTTTCATAGAGACCTTTCAGCATCTTAACACATTTATTAGTAAATTATATTGAGTAAAAGTTGTCAATGCTAAAATCCTAGCCTGCATTTTAATGTTCAGTAATTTTTATCTTGTCAAGATCTTTGCATGATTAATTAATTCACTGATTTAAAAACTTGTAACCAGTCTGTATATGTATAAAAGTTGTGGAACAGAAAATTAACATCAAATTCATTCTCTTTTCTACAACGGCTATGAAATTCTAAAAGCATGATTAAACATTACCTGTGGTAAACTACTAACATGTATCTACATTACAACTGATTAAACAGTTTCAGCTTGGCTTGAGTGACGGGTTGGAATCTGACATGAAGCAGTTGCAGAAACTGCATTGTTTCAGATTCTCAGGTTTCATCCCCAAGACTCAAGACATGGGACAGAGAAAGCTCTCTAAATATCATGTTCATGAAAAACACTCTCCTTCAGTTGATGGTTAAATTGGCATCTTTAACAATGTGTTCTAGGCTGCAGAGAGTGCTGGTCAGACTGCACGGGCCTTGGAGAGATTGTCCGAAGAGAAGGTTGCCTTGCAAAAGGAGAAGCTGGAGGCAGAGACTCTAGTCCAGGAGTTCAGAAAAGCCAAACAGGAAATGCAGGATCAGGTCAGTAAGAGGTTTGAGAGCAAGATCCTGGTGAACTGATAGGATTGATTAAATAATGCATTATCATTTTATTGAACTTGAAATGACCAGGCTGCTGGGCTCTTAGAGTTAGAGCTCTAATACAGACAATTGAAAAGTGTCTTGACAGCCCAGCCTCTGACTGCTTGACTGACTTGATAAAGATGCTAACCATAAATCACGGGTTTTGTGTGATGTGCAGGCAGATTATTTTGCTCTCATGAGATGCAGTACTGCTGTGCACTGGTGACTCGCTAGCATTTATTTTGATGAACAAAACCTTGTTTCCCCTCAGACAGATTAAAAACTCTTGCACTGAAGTGCGTTGTTTAAAAAAAAATGAGTGAAAGTATAGGTTATTTAAATAGTTTTTGTTTTAATTATCAAATTATTTTTTTTTTATCACTGTCACTGGATCATCTGAATTACAAGGTTGTTTAGCTTTCAGACTACAAATAATGCTGCATAAATGCTACAAACAAGCTAACACTCCTGTGCATTAAAATGACATTCTGTGAAAGTAAGTCTGCTTGTAAGCTGCTTGTAAGTCTGCAGCTTCTCAAGCTGTACTGCTACTGCCAAAACAACACAACTACCACATTTGACAAGGTTTTCTAGTTAGTCTTAGGATATCAATTCAGTGTGCGGCAGTGTTAGCTTGCATGAGCTCATAATTCAAAGAATCCAGCAATGTTCATAGGAACAAAAAACATTTGCCAAAACTATCTTCTTTGGAACATTTTTGGGCCTGCTGGCAATGGTTTTCGGGAGCTTAATCCAACTTTGATCTGGAGTTCTTAGTCTAGACATGACTGCAACTACAGAAAGATGACACAAGTTCAGGGGTGTATTGAAAAGGAGAAAACTAGCTTGATCTTACTAAAACACATATGGTTGCGGTCACAAATATATAAAGTAAAAAGCCCGACTTACCTACATACCAATAAAATAAAGGGAGTGAGGGATTTCACAAACTAGAATGATTTTATTATCTCACTAAAGGTAATGAGCACCACTGGATAAAATAGAGCATTTGAAGGTTTTGAATGTATGTATGTATGTATTTATTTGTAACACACTATTTTTGTTATTAAAGATGCCTTAAATTTTTTGGGGGAAATCAATGTCCTGTCTTTGTCAACAGTGTCTGTAGTAAAAAGCTGCTCTTTGGGCTAAATTGTTTTGTTTTTCACTAATGCAGCTGAACAGTCTGACAGAACAGAGCTCTCAGTACCAAGAAGAGCTGAAAAAATCCAAAGACCAGGTGAAATCTGCAAATGAGAGGATCAGCGGTCTTTGTAAAGAAATGTGAGTATTTGTAGTTCTATTATTTTTCAAATTCAAAGCTATATACAATGCTGGCCGTACAGTACAACACTTAAAGGGGAATGTCAAAGTTTTTAAAAATTTTGCATGAATCTATCATGTAAATAAGGTCGTTCACAGTGGTTTGATGTGAAATGGTTAATTGTCAAGAAAATTACAAACTATGATTTCTTTACGGTGCTGACGGGAACCAGGGGTCACAATGTGTACAACACAAATACAGCTATGTTATTTACTATCCAAAGCCACTAACGAACCTGCACATGTCTGTGAGTGGGCATTAAACTCTTAAGATGCCTGGTACCTATCATGATCCATGTAAACTCTGTAGGGGATACCGAAGTGGCATATTTCACAACAAACCACTCTGAATGGCTTTGTTTACATCTCAATACAGACATTTTGAAAAATCGGTGGAATTCACTTTTAGCAGCTTCTTGTTTAGAGTTCAGGTGTTCATTCAGTGGGTTATACAGTTTCTCTTTATGTTAAAGGAGGCTCTGTGTGTGCTCTGCAGGTCTTGCCTGTGTGATCGCTTTCAGCAGAAGGGCAGGGGTGGGTTGAGAGAAATAAAGAAATGCTCAAGATAATTGGGTGCGCAGACACTCCAGCTCAGAGCCCTTCATTGAAATTTTTTTTCTGAGACCATTTCTAATTAAATTTAATGACTGTCAAACAGTATTGTCTCCCAATTTTTGAATTTTGAAACTGTGTTTAAACTTTAAAACTAAAACACTGTCTACATTACTTGACTATGTAAGTCAGAGGCTACAAGTAGAGATTAGATTGAATGTTCTTGTAACTTTCTTGTAACTGAGGGAATGTCTGGATGACTTATTAACTATGGAGTATAAATACTTAAAAATGCTTGACTTCATAACAATACAAGATCCCCTTTTTGGTGCTATATAGAACCATTTTCAAAACGGTTCCATACACAACTTTACACAACATTTTCTCCATTAATCTGAAGAACCATGTCACCATGCAAAGAACCATTTAAACATGAAATGGTTATATATAGAACAATTTCCTTTGCTAAAAACCCCTTAAAGAACCATCTTTTTTTAAGAGTGTAGGGTTGGGCAATTTTGAAGATATGTTGTCCTTATGGTGCTAAATGATCTTACAATAAGCTTTTCTGTGCGTGTTGTGGATATCATCAGAATTGGATATCAACAAAGCACACTGATCATTTGCATGTTTCATCACCAAAAGAGCATAATTAGTCCTGCTTCACTGGATTTAGTGCAGAGCAGTAAGTTAAATGTTTCTTCATCAAATCATTGTACTAATAGGTTTTATTTCTTAATGTGACACTACTTGTGCCTTTTTTCTGTTGCAACTAATCAACTTGGGCAAATCAAAAACAAAAAATTGTCATGCTCATCATGCTCACGAAATTATCTGTGCATATCATATTATATTCACACCAAATGATGCACACATCTAATTTGGAAACATAAGGCCGCAAGAGGCAGACCTTCTTGCTTTAGCCCTTTTTAATTATATTTTCAGGTTTATGTGCTGTCTTAAAGGCAACCTTAACATGAGTTTGTTACATGGTTTCTACCACTTTTTTTTTTTTAACATTACCACTAATCAAGATTGATCATTGAATACTGCATATTTAAACCATTTATAAAATTCATGTTCTACAGAGATGACACCCTCCAAGGCTAAAGAATATTAGAACTGGAATACATACATATCGTATGTGATGCACTTATGCAGAGGATCAGAATCTGTTGAACACAAAATAGTAATGCTGACTCCAAACAATGATAACAATGACACCCAAAAAGTGAAAATTGTTATTTAGGATTGTTGAATTTTGGCAAACAGCAGCAGCAAGCACTCTTTATTTTGTGCCTCTCATGTTCTGTTCTATCTCTTTCTGTGTGTGTGTGTGCCTGTGGTTGTGTTTGTGTTTGTGCACGCACACGCTCGTAGTGAGGAGCTGAAAAAGGCAGCATCTGAAAAGGTCTTGGCCATTGATGCTGTAACAAAGGAAAAGGCAAAGCTGGTTGAAGAACTTTCTAGCAGCCGAGAGGAAAATGAAAGCAACCAAAGAGTATGTTCATAAAAACAGCCACTATTTACTTATTTCTGTTGTATTTGCACTTGATGGTTGTATATGATGTGCTGTGTATCCTATGTATTAATTGAAACAAATGAAACCCTCTGACATACTAAATGTGTACAATTTAATCTGAAAACAGCAGAAAATCAGATTTTGGCAACAATTTTTCAGCACATTTACAAACTCTTCAGTAATCTGATAATGAGAATTCAGGTCTATCTGAGTCACTTAATAGTCAGATTTCTTTCTAAACACACAACATGCACCTCTACCATTGCTTAGCAATTTATCAGTAAAGTTGCAATTTTGCATTTTGAAATAAATGTTTAGAGTTTCATGAGCAGCTCTGTTCTATCTGGTTCTGTTTGTGCACATGTGCCGGTGTAGGAAAATGAAAAGAAATCAAATAAATGGAATTCCTCACAAATGCATTCTTTTGTAGCTACTGTTTTGAAGTTCAGTAAGCCTTAATGAAAGCCAGAAAAATTCCATTTATCTCTAATGAAAAATTGTAATCCATTTTTCATGTCAGTTAGCCCTCAGATTGGTGGTTGTGACATGCAGTTTGAGCAAAACTCAGGAATTGGCTACCATTGTAATACTTATTTGATATTTTGGTGGAAATAAATCCCTCATCATTTATTTTCTCTTTGCAGCTCAAGAAGGAATTGGAAAGCCTCCAAAGTCAGTTGAAGGACATGGAAAAGAGGTGAGGCCAGGATATTTCACCCCTTTTTTTTTTTTTGGTCTTGTTCCATTTATACACTTGTCTCATCAACTCTGCTAATCTAGTTCCCTTTTCTGACACAGAAAATTTGTAAGGTTTTTTGTGCTCACACAAATTTCCTTATATATTAGACTTTTAAATAATAATAGTAATAGCCATATCCTAACATGCTGTTAATTCTAATAACCTTTTATGAATAGATTTTTTTATTTTTTTATTAAAAAACTTTTAGAAAATAATTGTTTATACGATAGAAGTTCATCAATTTTACATAGCTGATATGGTTTTGTGGTAAGTGATCTTGATGCTAGTGGTTTACAATGCTTGTATACATTGGCTTTTAGTCAATATTGTAATGCAAGCTGTTGGTTTTAAAATGGGGCAAAATCTAAAATTTGTTTACCTGATTTGGCCAATATCAGACTATGTCAACTGACCCATTTCCATCTTTAGCAGCACACATATATTAGTAACATAACTGGATCATTTCATCTCTCCACAATGCATATCTTAAGTAGGTTTGATAAGCTTGTGCAAACAGCAGACAATACCTCTGATAACCAGTTTGCTTCTCATAAGCCTTCTCTTTCTAGAGGAAAAGATAAGAGGAACCAGCCTTTTATCTTTAAATGGAATGAAGAAAATCTGCAGTTTCATATTCTTTGGAACTTCGCTTTACAATATTGTTGTGTTTATGTTTGGACAGGGCTGATGCATCCAGTTAGACCAGAGGTGGGGGGTTCTGTGCATTTTTGTCAACAATGCATGAGTTACCAACACAGTAATCATCACAATCCACTGTATACATGGGCCCTCATTTATCAACATATCTCATTAATCAGCAGAAGCAGAAGTATATCAAAATTTGTTCTGCAACTGTGAAGCACTCAAACATTCTAAAATGTTCCTTTTTTTTTTTCAATGAAACTTGCTCATCCTGAACATACGCACTGCAATATATACCGATGAGCCAAAGATTATAACCACTCACAGATGAAGATATGTCGGAGCCTGAGATATATTAGACAATAAGCAAACAGTCGCTTCTCATATTTGACATGCCAGAGAAATGGGCAGGTGTAAAGACCCGAATTGCTCTAAGGCCAGATCGTGACTGGGTCAGAGCTTCTTGCAAATGGCAAGCCTTGTGAAGTGCTCCTGGTCAGACTCCACTGGTTTAGCTATGGAAAGGATGGCACCAGGTTACACTGTAGGTGGAAGACAAGCCAGTGGAAAACACTTTTGCGAACCAGGTACACCCCTTCATGGCAGTGTTATTCCTCGATGGCAGCGGCCTCTTTTAGCAGGATAATGGGCACTGCCATGGTGCACACATTGTTAAAGAATGGTTAGAGGATCTAATTTCAATTGAGCAACTGTGGGATGTGCCTGAAGTGCAAGTCCAATCCATCCAATCCATCAAAATTATTAGAAATGCACTGAATATAAAAGGATGACTGGAGAAGATATCTACACAGTAGTAGAACAGCAGAATATAGAAAATTAAAATACATCAAGCGTTTGCATATAGCCTAACCAGTTTATTTTGGCTGAAAATTTTAATTATTCTTTGTAGAATGTAGTGGATTATAATCGATCTTAACATTTCCAAAATGGAGACAACTGAATCAGTTGATGGACTCTGCATTTTTCAAATCTATGCATAGTTGGGAGCCCTTCGCTGTCTGTTGTAAAGGTTCATATTGGTAACCATCACTGTTTGCACAAATTTTATAGTATGTAACTATATGATAAATGAGGGCCCTTAACAAGGACCCAGCACACATTGAGTCATTTTAGTCACAAAACAGTTTCAGACTGTGAGGGAAGCACATAGTCCGTGTTCACACTGATGCATCAACAACCCACCTCACTTGCACTGTACATATCACATCACATCATCTTTGTAGTAATTCCCTGCAATAGAGACAAGCTTAAAACTCTGTTCAAAAGAAACACTAATTTCAATTAAAAAAAAATAAAAATATTGCTGATAAATGTATAAAACATTTTTCTTATGATGATGATGATCATGATAAAGATGATACTTTACACCTTAACAGGTTTCAGCCAATTAGTCGGGGGGGGGGATTTTAGATGTGTCCAGAATGATGAACAGAGCTGTAGATAATTCCGTGATGATTGAGAAAGCTGTAAACCATTGAATGAAGTTGTAATGAAATTAACATCTATAATGTCGTGCATTTATAACGTAGTTATCAAATCGCAGATAATTTATCAAGCAATTACTATAAACATATTACAGTATATTTACCATTTAATAACTGTTTGAAATGTTGAATTAAACACTTTGAAATACCTTCTAATCTCATGCTTAATATTTTAATCTACACTTTATATATTATTATTAAAACGACTGAAGTTATTAGGAAATTAGGGATGTGATTTTCGACTAACTTTGAGATTCAGGTATTTGTAAAAGTTTTTTAGTGTATATCCAGTTAACAGTGGAGAAGAAAAAAACAATGGCAAAATAAAGGCAAAACAGATTTTGGCTGAAAGTAACGTAGAGCTGTGGCTTACCTTTAGGTGAGAGCACTGGTGTCAAATGATGTCAAATCATTTGACGTATCTACGCAAGCGATTTCTGCTCGCTTTAAAAATTTCCTTGCACAGAATGTATTGACTACAGCATAAACGTTACACTACAATGTCCACTGCTGTCTGCTGTTGTGCTTGAAGTATTACATGATATTTATTACTCATGGTCTGATGCTCACGATTCACTCTGCAAAATATCGTAATACTGCATGTTGAGTTTTATTACTTTTATTGTTTAGTAGTGTTGTTAGTTTTGCAATGTTTACAAGAAAAGCTTAAAAGTATGATATTAGATTGAACTAGTGCAGAGTACCTCTCCAATTTGCAAAAGAGAATGGTCTAAGAAAAGCAGATAATAGTATGGATTTGCACTTCTACTGGTTAAAAAAAATATATATGTTAAAAAAATATTAACTGAAAAAAATGGAGATGCATGGTTTTCTTCAGTCCCCAATAATATTCTCGTACCATTCTTGTACGTAGTATTCACATGAGATCTGATTTCATCGAAACAAATATTTTTTTTATGAAGTGTTGTGTTTTTTTTTTTTGGGGTGAAACATGATAGACTTTACTAATTGTTTCATATGTTTTTTCCATGTCAACAGGGAGTATGGTTTGAAGAGTGAATCAGACAAGGAGAAAGCTGCGCTACAACAATCTATCCAAAAAAACAGTGCCTTGATTGTAGAGCAGAATAGAGAACTGGAGACACTAAGAAATGAGGTAGGGTTCTGCTTCTTCATTACAGACTAATTATTCCAGTAATCAGTAACGGCTTATGTCTGTTCCAACTTTTCATTTCTGTGAGATTTTGAAATGAGTTACAGTAGTAATGGCTACTAATGTTAGAGTGAATGAGCTAACATTTTTATTTTCATCATTGCACTGATAGAGGGCTAAATCTGTCTCAGATCAGTTTTAGGAAAAGTTCCAAACTAATCCTGTCAGATTTGACCAATACTTTGAGGAAATTATGTCATAGTGTCTCTGTCTTCACTACTCCCTGAGATATAGAAGCCTTTAAAAAGTGGGTGTGGGCATGGCCTTGTCTTTTGTCTTGAGTTACCATAGGTGTTAACCTCTACAGTAACTCTTATATTTACAACTTCTAAGTACTTTAAATTCACTAATACCAGTGTAATACATTTCTAATTTTAAAATTATTAGCCACACCAGACATTTACCCAATTTTGGGTTTCTTTTCTGATCATCTTAAAACAGTTAACATGCTGTTTTAACCCAAAATTAAAAGGGCTTCATATGAAGCTGACTATGTAATGCTGACTGATGGAGAAGAGAAAGTAAGGCAAGTATGAATGTGGGTTTGCTATTTGGCAACGGACAGATCATTTTGCCCTGTTAAAACTGCTTATTAATGATTACGTTTATGACCTAATTAATAAACTATTTTTTTATATTTAAAAAAATTAAAAACGTGTTTCATAAACACTTTATTGTTATTTGCTGTTTAGTGTTATTGTAAAGTGTCATTGTTAGTTCAATAATGTGTATTGTGTTTAATGTAGTTTAAAAGCACATCCAAGGTCAGGAAACTGGTTTAGGGACCTTGTCTGAATGTGTGTGTTTCTTTGTTTGTTTTTGTTTGTTACTTGTGATCAGGTATCAGTGCTTCATGGGGACAGTTCTTCAGCGAAGACACTGCAGTCCACTGTGAAGTCTCTAGAAAGTGATAAAGTTCAGCTACAGGAGCAAGTTCGCGTTCTGGAAAGGAGCTTAGCTGAAGCACGAGCAGGCAGCCCTGGAGACGTCCCCTCAGGTACCCATCTAAACAGCATTCAGGTTAAATATGAAGAATTTGCTTGTCATCTGTCATCTGCCTGAGATTTGTTCTCCAGTTTACTTCCTTCTCAGTGTTTTACACCTTTCTCTATCATTCTGGAACCTTCTACAGCTCTGTTTATCATTCTGGACACATTTAACAGTTCTTTTGTTTTTTTACTTAAAATCTATAAAACTGTCCCAAAATGCTTGTGTACATACATTTGTATGCATACATTTTGGCACCCCTGGTCAAATTACATGTTTTGTTGAAGTGAAAGTAAGGTAACACATCAGCTACAAAGAACACACTTCTGATCATTATAATGTAAAATTACTGTTTATTTACTGAATTATGTACTTGTTGAATTTAACATATTGGAAAGGGAAATAAAACCTGAAATGTGACCTTAGTTAATGACATATTTTATGTTTATTTTTTCCAGGATGTTAAATAGTTTTTTTTTAATTTGCCAAAATGCCATATTCAAGTATGTTCCATATGTATGTTAATTTATTTTTTAGTTAAAAAAAAAACAAAAACATGTAATTTGACCAGACATGTTCATGCTTTTGCATACGACTGCATAACTCAAATTATATAAATTATTGATTTCATTTCCACATTTTTATATGTTGATTAATTTTGAACAGTAATGAGCTCTGGAAGGGATTTAAAAGGTTGATATTGTGTGCCTGGTTACATTATTATGCTTTACATTGACCTGCTACAAAACTATATTAATGCTTTAAAACTAGTCGTAGTCCAATCATGCCTGTTTCAGCAGGTTCTTCTGTTCTGGACCAGTTGAAAGAAGCAAAAGAGACTGCGGAGAGTGAGGTATTAATTGTTTTATTATTGTTTATTAATTTGTTTATTTAATTTGTGATCACCGAATTACTTTGTAGTTACCTTTTCATGTTGTTCTTCCATGAAGTGCATTACACTTTCCTAATTTTGCAAAGGAATGTGAAAAAATTGTGCAGAGAAGCCACTAAAAGCAAGTTTCTTTTAACAACTTTTGCTCACATTAGTGATGCACACACCCGGAGAACCAAGTATTTTAATTGGTTAGTTAACTATAAATGCAGAATTTACTTTAACTGTAATCTAGTCATCAGCAAAATAGTGCTTAAACCTAATTTATCTTTTATACAAAAATTCACAGATTTTCTCAACACAGAACAGCATAAAATATTTTAATGCTGCTGTTATATTTTTGAATACTTTTAAACTCCAATTATAGGACTTTCTTTTTAAGGGGGTCCTGCACAAATAGCTAGAAACAAGTTTAATTTTTGATTCTGATTAGTTATCATTTCATGCATATTAGGTCTCAAATGTTAACCCCTGTCCTTATTGTTCTCATATAAATAACCACTGGGGCATTGAAAAACGAGCAGATTTATTTATTTAATGAAGTAGTTATTTGGTTGAGCTGTATAATTTTATTGTAGCCTTAACTAGGAGTACAAACAAGTAAATTCATAATGAGCTGTCTCCATCTAGAAGACACATCTTTATTAAATTTATCCAAAATATGTAATTTGATTTTTAAAATAAACCTTTTTCATAAATGTCTAAGTCCCTGTTTGGCATATTTATTATATAGTAACTATAGTCATGTCCTACTTGCAATTATCTGGTAATCTTTGTATATAAACTTGAAATCATTGTGTATTTTACTTTTGTCACCTTTGGGTCAACTCTTGTATTAGATTACAAATAATCAAGAGGTTAGGTTATAGTGATTTATTGGTGGAGGTTTTCTTTTTGTATTTTTTTAATGAAGTTTGTCTTATTGCCTCATTGCAGTTACTAAGGAGGCCAAGCATGAACTCAAAACTTGTCTTGGTTGATCCATATTTGAGTTAAGAGGAAAATCATAATGATTTTATTTTCTGTGAAACTCTGCATCAGAACTCTCATTGCTTAGTTGGTTTTACTTTTTCCCATTTGTCCAAGCACTCTAGGTAGTCTGCAAATAGCTGGGTCCCTATAATTTCTAATCCGCTGTTTTGTCTCTTCCTGTTCTCGTCTCTCCTTTCTTCCTCTTCTTCTCCCTTCTTCCTTGATGTTGGCAATGCTTCCCTCAATCAGGCAGCGGTTTGTAACAGTGTCTCATCCACTTCATTTGTGCATGTGCTTCAGTTTCTTTTCTAACTGCTCCAGGGCTGCCAACTTTTAGCAAGAATAAAGAGTGGGATTTCGTTTTTCTGTTCAACTCTGTTAGTTCAAGGTCCCATTTATGATGGGAGGCCAGTTTTTGTAAATCTTAATAATGGTTATGTATCTACAGTGGTGTGAAAAAGTGTTTGCCCCCTTCCTGATTTCTTATTCTTTTTCATGTTTGTCACACTTAAATGTTTCAGATCACCAAACAAATTCAAATATTAGACAAAGATAACACAAGTAAACACAAAATGCAGTTTATAAATGAAGATCTTTATTATTAAGGGAAAAAGAAATCCAAACCTGCAGAGCCCTGCGTGAAAAAGTGATTGCCCCCTAAACCTAATAACTGGTTGGCCCACCCTTAGCAGCAACAACTACAATCAAGCATTTGCGATAACTGCCAATGAGTCTTTTACAGCGCTGTGAAGGAATTTTGGCCCACTCATCTTTGCAGAATTGTTGTAATTCAGCCACATTGGAGGGTTTCCGAGCATGAACTGCCTTTTTAAGGTCATGCCACAGCATCTCAATCGGATTCAGGTCAGGACTTTGACAAGGCCACTCAAGTCTTAATTTTGTTTTTCTTAAGCCATTCAGAGGTGGACTTGCTGGTGTGTTTTGGATCATCGTCCTGCTGCAGAACCCAAGTGCGCTTCAGCTTGAGGTCACGAACAGATGGCCGGACAATTCAGCAGAATTCATGGTTCCATTTACCACAGCAAGTCTTCCAGGTCCTGAAGCAAAACCAGCAAAACAGCCCCAGACCATCACACTACCACCACCATATTTTATTGTTGGTATGATGTTCCTTTTCTGAAATGCTGTGTTACTTCTACGCCAGATGTAATGGGACATACACCTTCCAAAAAGTTAAACTTTTGTCTCGTCAGTCCACAGAATATTCTCCCAAAAGTCTTGGGGATCATCAAGATGTTTTCTGGCAAAACTGAGACGAGCCTTTATGTTCTTTTTGCTCAGCAGTGGTTTTCGTCTTGGAACTCTGCCATGCAGGCCATTTTTGCCCAGTCTCTTTCTTATGGTGGAGTCATGAACACTGACCTTAACTGAGGCAAGTGAGGCCCGCAGTTCTTTGGATGTTGTTGTGGGGCCTTTTGTGACCTCTTGGATGAGTCGTCGCTGCGCTCTTGGGGTAATTTTGGCCACTCTTGGGAAGGTTCACCACTGTTTTCGCCATTTGCGGATAATGGCTCTCACTGTGGTTTGCTGGAGTCCCAAAGCTTTAAAAATGGCTTTATAACCTTTTCCAGACTGATAGATCTTAATTACTTTTTCTCATTTGTTCCTGAATTTCTTTGGATCACTTCACTTTGTCAGGCAGGTCCTATTTAAGGGATTTCTTGATTGAGAACAGGTGTGGCAGCAATCAGACCTGGGTGTGGCTAGGGAAATTGAACTCAGCTTTCCAAAAATGTGATAATCACTTTTTCACACAGGACTCTGTAGGTTTGGATTTCTTTTTCCCTTAATAATAAAGATCTTCATTTATAAACTGCATTTTATGTTTACTTGTGTTATCTTTGTCTAATATTTAAATTTGTTTGGTGATCTGAAACATTTAAGTGTGACAAACATGCAAAAGAATAAGAAATCAGGAGGGGGCAAACACCTCTTCACACCACTGTACTTCTTGTCTATTTTCACTGACTCCATGAATCTAAGAAATATAATGATCCATGGGATAAATAGCTGTACTGCAAAGAGTTAAAGGATACCTTTCTATACACAGAACATTAAATGTGAAAAAAACATTGTTAGGACAAAAGCAGATAAAATAAGAAAAGCAGGATTTTTTGACTGTTCAGGGTGCAGTAGAGCTGAATTTTTGGCTGCCCTCGTTATTGTTGATTTAGCTGAACATTTAACAGTGATTTGGATTAAAGTTACATGCTAAAATGTAGTAAATGTAGTTAAACTGGATTGCTAACTGAAAAGTATAAAATAATTTAATTGTAATATTTGCTATTGTGTGCTGCTTTTATTTACAGTCTTTTTGGTCACAGAGTTGAACATTCACAAGGCCAGTAAGACTGAAAAGAGGGAGTTAATAATTGCAGAAGGATCAGGTTACCCCACTGTTTCCAGGTATTTGTAGGTAATTGATGGCACAGCTCCACTGCTTAAACTCCTTTCTGGTTTGCCACAACATAATTCAAGTCAAGTCAAGAGGCTTTTATTGACATTCCGTCTGTGTACAAGTACACAGTGGAGTGAAATTACGTTCCTCCAGGAACAAGGTGCAACATGGAACAAAATAGACAGTACAAAGTGCAAACGTGCAGACGTAAGAAATAATTTCAAAATTATCCAGGGAGAGTCCCAATGCTGTCGGTCAAGGAAAGTTTCAGAAATAGTACAGGTTGGATTGTTTTAATTTGATGAAATAAGCTGTATTATAAAACGGGTAGTTCCGGTCCTGAAATCTGATTGGCTGAGCTACGTTCAAAGCCGTTGTAAAATCCACGATCCACCTCACGACAGCTGAACTCTGTATTACTGCACCACGAAAAACCCTTCTGCTTTTAATGGATTAATCTTTGACTCTAATGCTGCTCACCTGCGTTACCGAGTGTACTGATAAAGCAAGAACCCGTTTTTGTTTAAACTGAGGGGCTGAAAACTTATTTTCTTAACTAGATCTAGACTGGTCAGCTAGCCAACAGGCTAAAAGATAGCAAACATGCTAAACAACTCCAACATTAATATCACAGGCTTGAATTAATGTACTCACGATATGACTCACTGAAAAACAGGCACTATAAAATTCTAAAGAATGTCACCTGAATGGCTTACATGCTTCAAATGTCCGTGTTTGTCAGAAGTCGCGTCAAACCCAGGCTGAATCCCAAACGGTTACATACTCCCTAGCAAAATAGTGTGTTGTGTAACGTTAAGTTTAGAAATTCTAGCTTCTGCTGTCAAATAGTGCACTGCTTTAGTAATTACTTTAGTAATAGTATTACTTTAGTAATTCCAGAAACACTTCACAATGGTCATTGATTCTGGAATAACAAGTCTTTATTTCCATAATGGTTTTTTTAAACTGTAAATGTTGTTTAAAGAAAACAAACATGGTCTCAACACAGATGCATGAGGAACACCTTTGTACCTCAAGAAATGAAGTATGGACTGTTCCTCTTAAAATTCCTAAAATATGGTTACTTCTATTGATTACATTTTCTGCCACTGTGACACAATAAGCTATTAATCTAATTGAAAGCATGGAGTTGTTTGAAGCATAGAGATTGCATTTCCTTCAAGTAATATGTGTAAGAGTTAAAATAAACCTTTTTGTATCTCACGTAAGGTGCATAAGAGTTTGCAGCCCTACTTTTTCTGTTTTTGTCTGTCTTGCTCTGTCGTTGTCTTTAAATAAAGGGTTGTATAATAATTTTACTTTTAATACTTTAAAAAATTGCACACAAGCTATTAAGTAGCATAAAAATTGTTATTTGTTGGTGTACTAAAGTAGCTTTTAAGGGGTTTAATGGAGTAATTCTGTCTTAGTTACTTGCAGGTGTGCTTTTTAGTCCTATACGTTTTATTAGTTGCATTTTTTCCAGAAGAAATTGTGGGAATATCTTGATTGTGAGCAAACACCCTCAGATTAATCCATCCTTTTTGAGCTAGGAAGTTAGACAGTTGTGAAGCAGGTTTGTTGAATGAACCAGTATGAATTGCACTAAGCCACATGGCTAAGAAAAGAAAAATAATTACACTTTATTTTACAGTGTACGTATTATGGAAAATCTCATGCATTGTTTAAATCATTAGTCAGTGCAGACGATGTTCCTAGTGTTTATGAATATTCATTCATCCTGGTAAAGGCTAATAAATAATACAATTGTAAATTGCACAACCTGTTTAAAAAAAAATGTAAATCCACAGTGGTTCGCCTATTTTTCATGACACATTCTATAAGCATAGGTGCATCTGGTGACTGCCAGGAGTCCAGGGGCCAGTAACTGTGCATAAATCCATGCATGGGCAATGTGAGGAAATATGAAAATAGACAAAGAAACAGGGCTGTGGTATCAATTTTATGCAGTTTAGTTTTGAAAACACATTATCTACTGTGTTGGTTTATTTTTGCATGGAATTCAAGAAGTCAACAAAAGTCATTTTTAGTGTTTCCACTTTATCGTTAATCTGATCAAACAAAACAAAAAAAGCATGTAATGATGTGAACTGTGTTCAATTGGAGAGAAAAGTACATATTTTATACGTGATAGAAAACACTGAAATTGTTTAATTAGGACCAACAGGCATGGGAACGCAATGTTATTGGGTTTTTTTTAAGTTGTTGTTGCTTTTCTTGCTGGAGGTGTAATTTATTACGCAAACAATAACATATCATATAGCCCACCCATCCTTTGCGCACAAAGTTTTCCAGCCATACATGTTGAGCTTTTCTGAGAGGCTGGGTGGTCTAAAAATTCAAAACAACCAGTGCAATAGTGTAATAGTTCAGAGGATGATCGATTCAGACATTCTTCATTATCATCATCAGTGTCCGTCACCTTGCTTATGGGCCTAATGTCATAGAAAAATAATTCCAAGCATATTGGTAAGGCTTTGTTTTCAGTACTGCTTCTGTCCCAGGACTGGTGACAAGTGCTGTACTAGATTGCACTGATGGAATTCTGCTCTATCTTTGTGGAGCAGATTGAATTCCTGAACTCTGTCATCGTGGACCTACAGCGCAAAAATGAAGAGCTGAAAGCTAGGCTTGAGAAAATGGCCGAGGCAGCACTTAATGGTAACACCGCCAGTGAGATGGATAATCATGAGAGGTAGTCTTCATTTTTCTATGCTTGCCAAGAAAATACTCTGATGATTAAGTGTATTTTAAAGGGTATTTTTATTTACTAGATATTTTATTAAAATGTCCAAGTATAAAGACATCAGTTACTGACCACAGAACTGGATATTGTGGCTGGATGTTTTTGGGTGCTAGTCCACTCAACCTAGCAGTGACACTGATGTGTGTAAAGTGTCATGTCAGGGTCACACACACACCCACCATGTCATTATCATGTCAGTGTCACTGCTGTGCTGAGAATGAACCACCACACACATAGTGTCTGGTCAGCAATAGTGCTGTGGTCAGAAGCTAACTAAAGATGGGGTACGGGAGGTTGTGGGGGGGCTATGGGGTGCGGTGATGCATTGTGCACCAGTTGGACTACAGCTTTTTATTGTACACTTATATGGTGGAGCTCTTTAAGTTATTTGAGTTTAAACACAATGCATCATGAACACATCACTGGTGCAGTGTCTGGCCTTAAAGGGTTAAGCCTTATGAGTTTCTGCTATGCAAGTTTTAAGAAATTTGACAACTGAAAACAGATCATATTATTCAATTCAAGATTATGTCAGTCAGCACTAAATACAATAAAACTATTGTAATGAAATCTTTTTAATTCTTGACCTAGTTACATTGCCTGATGTTTTTGGTTATTGGACTTTTCAGCCGCTTAAATCGGTATCAGTCACAAAATATCGGTCATATTCATATCGGTAAGGCTGATATATAATACAGTGGAGGTAATGGTTTGAGTTATGTACTCCATGTTTGATAATTTGTCATTTGTCTGCAGCTTGGCTGAGGCTAAAACCAAAAAGAAACCCCCGCCACGCCTCTTCTGTGACATCTGTGACTGCTTTGACCTCCACGACACAGAGGACTGTCCCACGCAGGAGCAGATGCCTGACTCTCCCCCACACACCACGTACCATGGCAGCCCCAACGATGAGAGGCCTTACTGTGATACCTGTGAGATGTTTGGCCACTGGACCGAGTCTTGCAACGATGACCAGACTTTCTAAATCCTCGCCTCTTCCTTTTCCTCTTTATTTATACCTGCAATACCACATGCGCCTTCAATAACGCACTGCACAGGTGTGTTCATCTTTGTGTAGTGTGAGAGAGAGAGAGAGACTGTTTGTGTGTCCACTGGTTTGCCACGCGACACACATCCTCAATTTAAAAATATTATATATATGCTTGTCTATGATTTAATGGTTTTGCATACCTTCTATTGCTGTATTCATGAATCAGAAAATCGTTTATCAAGAAACGGTTAAACAGATCTTTTTTTATTTTTTTATAAATCCACTATACTGAATTTGACAGACTTGTATGATGAATATGGATGGAGGAGGCAGGAGGTGTCTACTTAAAGCCATCAGTGTGTTTTGGCATCTCTGATCTGTTCCAAAAACAAAGCAAAGGGCATGACGTTCTCTGAATGTCTGGCGAGAAAAAGCGCTACAATCCTGATGCACTTTACTCCCTGATCCTCTTCCCTGTTTCTAGCTCACTGTAGAACAAAATCGCTTTCCGTATGAACAGAATGTCATTTAAAGATGATATCGATTCTGTATGTGTGTGTTAGTGATTTTGTTTTTTGGAATATCATATCTGTACAAATAGAAATAAATAATTATTGTATAAAATGAGTGTTGTTGTCTTTAATTGATTACATTGTCACACTTAAGAGCACCTGAAGGAATTTAACAGATGCACAAATGATTTTCTCATAATTTGTTCTGTATGTTGTCCAAGTATAATACTGCTGGTAGCAGCGTGACCTGTGGGAAGAAGATCCCCCTTTCTTCCTGACCAAAAGTTTGGGCCAAATTTGATCTAAACACATTTACTGAACGTCTAGGTCTAATTAATTCCAAAACTTCATCTGGACCACTGCATTCTTTAAAATATGGCTGGTGCAAAAGTGACTTATGTTTTTAATATCAGCATGTTAAACTCAGCAAATAAACGGAAGTTTCATAAATTTTTCGGTGGGTGGGGGATATAAAGCAATATAAACAATATAAAGTTATGGCACATATATATTTGTTTCTTTTTTTTTCCAGTATGTTACTCAGCAGGTAAATATACTGAACAAAAAATGAACACACTTCTGGTTTTGCAGTTTGAAAATAAAAAAATCCAGATTTTTCTCTTAGAAATGATCACATGAAATACTAATGTAACATGCAATAAAATGTCATTGTGGTAAAGAATGTCTTTAACGTCTGAACCACTGAAAAACTGCCTATTGCCACTGTAAATATAATTGGACTATATATAAAATATTTATATACACACTACAGATTATAGATTTTAAACTTTTTTATTTCTCTTTGTTGTTCGGGAACAACTTGATAGCTGTTTACTTAAAACTGTGGCTGACATGTTCTGTGTTATAAATGTTAGCTAGCTGCCCTTCTAAACAGATCTGTGTATCTGTTCTAAACAGAAATCATAGGATTTTCTACAGTATGTTGCGTTATGTGCTTTTTGTTGACTCTGGACTGAACTCAAAATGCTTTAAATGCAGCCAGTCTTTGTCCCTCTAAAGCTTTTTTTTTTGATGGTTTACAACATGAAAGACGTTGTATGACTAACTGAACCTGCTTATTCGTAAAGTTGTATTTTTGCATCAAATTTCTTAAAATTTCCAGGCAGTTAACTAGCTCATGGCAGCTAATGCTAGGTTTTTGGATTGCAGAGAGACCATTATGGCTGATAATGAGGATAAACGTTCACAGCATGAAATGAACATGAAAAGAGGACACAAGAAGAAAAAGACTCAGTTTTGGACCTGCAGTGTAAATGTTACATTTACATTTACATCATTTAGCAGACGCTCTTATCCAGAGCGACTTACAAAAAGTGCTTTGTCTATCCAGAGAAAGAATCTTCGCTAGCTACCGATAGGTTAGAGAGAAAGTCAGTCCTAAGCTCAGATACTGGTAGAATCAGAAAGTCATTGACACCTAGTGAAAAAGGGACAGAGTTAAACACAGAACAGTGCAATACGATAAAATACATAAGTGCTGTACAATACATTACAATCAATACTTAATTTAGTGCTCATTTAAGTGCTGAATAAACAGGTGTGTCTTCAGTCTGCGTTTGAAGACAGCGAGAGACTCTGCTGTACGGACAGCCCGTGGGAGTTCGTTCCACCACCTGGGTGCCAGCACAGAGAACAGTCTAGTTGCTTGCCTTCCACGCGCCTTGAAGGATGGCGGGTCAAGCCGAGCTGTACTCGAAGCTCGAAGGGCTCGTGGTACAGTCCGAGATTTGACCATTGCCATCAAGTAGGGAGGGGCTGGTCCATTTTTGGCCTTGTAGGCAAGCATAAGGGTTTTAAATCTGATGCGTGCAGCTACAGGAAGCCAGTGAAGGGAGCGCAGCAGTGGGGTGACGTGGCTGAACTTTGGGAGATTGAAGATGAGTCTTGATGTTAATGTTACAACCTAACAAACAAGAGGTCTGATAGAGTTGAATCCAAGCTATTAAAGTAATTTATGGGGCCTACATTGAAGCTTCAGGGGGAGAAGGTAGGCTATACATTCACAACGAGCTGGGTGGCATTTTTATTGAACTTAACAAGTCAAGGCAAAAATGTAGCACCTGTCAGCAAAAAAAAGAGAAATAAGAGAACCTTGCAGATGCTGAGCATTATGGGAGAAGGTGAAATATGCAGTAATAAGGTCTTGAGGATCTACAGGGCGGCAAAGGAAGACAGCAGCCATCACCCTCCATAACGTTAGTGCTTGCCACCCGAATTCTGCAGCTTCTAAAACATGGATGCACAACACTCCTGGTGTAAAAGACAGACTGTTGTTGTTGGCGTGTGGTTTAGTGGTACTTGTGTTTTAGAGTAACTGTGTCAGAGGAAGGTGAGTTATGCAGATAACTAATGGTTAGCAGTGTCTACCGTCCTTGAATGTCATGTCCTCCCACAACACCCCTTGCTGTATTTCGTGCTGGGGAACGCTGGGCTGGGGATTCCTCTGCCTCCGTTGATGTGCCTGTTGGAAATGAAAGAGCATTCGCCCATTTGCACCATTTGTCCATGTCTTCTTCTTCTGTGCCAATGCTACACTGGTGTCAGGAGTGGGATACAGCCGCTAAGCTAAAAGAAGTCAAGCAGCGTGTCAACAAAGGTAGGTGGCAAGGAAGACCTAGTCCAGAGGAAAGGGGTACCAAGCCCCATGCCTACTTTGTCCTGGACGGTGAAGGAAGCAGCACAGCAAGGAAAGAAAAACCAACTGGAGCCCAGCAAGAAAGAGATAGTGCACCTCTGCTTAAAGCTTTATAATGGTGAGGGCTTCTGGGAGCTATACTCCACACAGCTTTCAATCAGCTGCCGCAGAGGCAGAGAGGGCAGAAGTCATTCTCAGCGTAGATACATTGCAGTGAGCAGCACAGTGCTATGCAGTGGAGGAGCTTGAGGAGGAGATGTCTTGTCAAGCCATACACAGCACAAATCCAAAACCTAATGGTTTCTAATGGGAATTGGTTTAATGGTTTCCAATAGAGACCACTAGTTTCCTGTAGACGACCTTTGGATCCCATTAGAAAACCATCAAATGTATTTAGAGTCAGCCATTGGTCACCTGTTAAACCATTAGGATCCTTTACATTGGCTATGTTTACATGCAAAGATTTTTGCAAATCCGATTGAATACAATCCGATTACAGATTCAGACTGAGGTGTTTATATGCACACCCTATTCAACAATCTGATGGAAAATCTTCGTTTACATGCTCACTACAAGTAATCCGATGCAAAATGACGCGCATGCGTGGAGTAGCGCGTAGAGTAAACGTTACCATGACAGCGAACATCACGTGCTGTCCAGTCCGCGTGAGATGAGTTTCCAGTTGACGCGCTTGCGTTTTAATTGCTTTAAAATGAGGTCAGACTCAGGAAAACGTGCTTCATATGTACGTATAAAGGAAGCGGCGAGAGGAAGACGTCGTGTTCTGAGACACATAAGCTGGTCGTCCGTCCCACGGCCGTCTTTTAAAGATCAGAGCATAAACTTCGTCTCCTTTGCAGACCAGTTTCTGCTCCGCCATGCTGAGCGGTATAAACTTTCGCCATGACGCGACGCACATGCGCAGAACATACTTACACGTTCCGATAGGAATGTAATCGGATACAGGCGTTTACATGGCTATTATTCTAGACTATTCCGATTGAGGTGTTTACATGGACGTGTTCTATTTCGATTGAACTATTAGTCGGATTATTAACGGATTATCAGGCTGCATGTAAACGTGGCTATTGTAATATCAACTTATTAAAAAAAAAACAAGAAAAAACAAAATGAAACAGCAATGATAATGTGCTGCTGTGCTTACAGTAGCTGAAACTGATCTTGTTCCTGTTTTTGATTCGGTTCAGTGAAAAATGTTTGTATTTTCTTAACTCAGTTTTACTGCTGAATACTGTGTCATCATAATCGTGTAATCCACAGCACAAACACTATGTATAACAAAACAAAAATACTCTAAAATATTGATGTACAAATGTATGTAATTTAACTGTTTCCCTAATGTAGAAATTTAATGTTAGCTGCTTGTTTTGGCAAAATGAACAGGGCTTAACGTTAAGGTTTTGACCAGCTTTTGCTCAGCTGTTTGCTCAGAAAAGTAGCCTATCTGAGCAGTGACAGGCCGATAATTGCGTGCGTTATTGTCCAACATTATTATTAGAACTTATAGATAACTGTCTTAATGGCAGATTTTCACAGTAAAGTGTAAACATTCACACAGAGTAGGTCTGAGAACATTGCTTTGGTGACTGCTTTATAGATGATGGCTGAATGTCTTACTTTGCATTTTGGGTGGCCAGAAGGGTAACCATATGTCACGCTAGGATGGTACTGGCCATCCCTCGGCTATGGCTTTGAGCAAGTTAACTGAATAAGGATTGCTATACTAAAGTTGCTTTTGTTCACCAGTTAGCATTCACTTGTTTCCAACTAGGTTACAGTTAAATTTACATCAAGATGGATTTTCTCAGCCCTCCAATCACTGCTTAGCGATCAGTACTATGAAGCTTTCAGCTCTTCAGAAGTGTGCTGTGCATTTTGCATTTTCAGCTGTGCATTGCTGCTGTTGATGTGGTTTGTTGCATCAGGGAGTTCGACAGCAACAGCTTGCATCCTAGAGCTATTGATCTAAACTTGATGTTGAATCAGATTCATCTGCCAGATTTCAGATAAAGACCTTAATTGCTTTAGGATCAATATCTGACAAGAGTTTATCCTTATTTAAAGATGTGTCATAACTTAGTACAATGTCCAAGCACTTGTTTCTGGATAAAATTGATATAGTTAATGACAAGTGTGGCAATAAAATGGTTCATCATTGTTTAACTTTCTCTGACCACATTCTTCAAAATCATATGTATATCTCGGTGCTTCCTGATTGTATATGTGAAGATACTTGGCATGTACTCAATTAATACTATATTTCAAATAAAACAAAGGAAGTCACTTTTAACATTGTACATAAATTTATCCTGCTGAGGTTACTTAATAGAAATTCACATTGAATACATATTATAGTTGTTCATTCTGTATTGTGGAAAGGCAAATTATTGACTTTTTTTGAAAGGCCCTTTATATCTCTGTTCTGGCAA